CCACCATATTTTACTGTTGGTATGATGTTCTTTTTCTGAAATGCGGTGTTACTTTTACGCCAGACCTTCCAAAAAGTTGAACTTTTGTCTCGTCAGTCCACAGAATATTTTCCCAAAAGTCTTGGGGATCATCAAGATGTTTTCTGGCAAAAATGAGACGAGCCTTAATGTTCTTTTTGCTTAGCAGTGGTTTTCGTCTTGGAACTCTGACATGCAGGCCATTTTTGCCCAGTCTCTTTCTTATGGTGGAGTCATGAACACTGACCTTAACTGAGGCAAGTGATGCCTGCAGTTCTTTAGATGTTGTTGTGGGGTCTTTTGTCACCTCTTGGATGAGTCGTCGCTGCGCTCTTGGGGTAATTTTGGTCGGCCGGCCACTCCTGGGAAAGTTCACCACTGTTCCGTGTTTTCGCCATTTGTGGATAATGGCTCTCACTGTGGTTCGCTGGAGTCCCAAAGCTTTAGAAATGGCTTTATAACCTTTTCCAGACTGATAGATTTCAATTACTTTTTTTCTCATTTGTTCCTGAATTTCTTTGGATCTCGGCATGATGTCTGTAGCTTTTGAGGATCTTTTGGTCTACTTCACTTTGTTAGGTAGGTCCTATTTAAGTGATTTCTAGATTGGGAACAGGTGTGCAGTAATCAGGCCTGGGTGTGGCTACAGAAATTGAACTCAGGTGTGATCAACCACAGTTATGTTTAAACAGGAGCTGGGGGGCAAACACTTTTTCACACAGGGCCATGTAGCTTTGGATTTTTTACTTCCTCATTAATAAAACCCTTAATTTAAAAACTGCATTTTGTGTTTACTTGTGTTATCTTTGACTAATGTTTAAATTTGTTTGATGATCTGAAACATTTAAGTGTGGAAAACATGCAAAAAAGTAAGAAATCAGGAAGGGGGCAAACACTTTTTCACACCACTGTATATCTTTTATTTATTCTATTGTGTATGTACCGTGCATCTTAGTAATCAAATGAGTAAAGTTTATTTAATATAGCACATTTTACAGAGCAAGGTCACAAAGTGTTTGATGATGTTTCATGATGCTGCTGAAACAACACACAGACTGACTGACATCATGTGCATTGTTTTTGGAAATATGTCTCATGATAAACAGTCTCTAGACGTGCATGATTCAACTTCTTCACATGGTCTTGTGTTAAAAAGTAAACAAAAATTGCAATAAATTATAATATTGAACCGCAATACATATTGAATCGGCACCCAAGTATCATGGTAGTATCAAATTGGGAGATACGCGTATCATCTCAGCCCTGCTGAGTATAATGTTGAACTTTACACTACACCTGAATTGTGTGACATTATGATAAATTTCCTTTAAAAGTGCAAAACAAACAACTGTAGAAACCTATTAGTTAGGTGTGTGTATTACAATATTGGGGTACATTTTAAGGCTGCATTAACAATTTTTTTTGACCAATTGAGGGAAGCGGGACAAGCTAAAAAAACAAAAAAACAAATGCAAAACCAAAACAACACAGTCATATCCTAAACTTATAGTTGTTAGTGTTAACATTTGCAAAGACGGGCAATTTGATCCCCAGCTTCTCCAGTCTGCATGTCGAAGTATCCTTGGACAAGATACTGAACCCCAAACTGCTCCCGGTGGCTGGTACATCTGTTTATGGTAGCCTCTGCCACCAATGTATGAATGTGTGTGAGAATGGGTCACTGTGACATATAGTGTCAAAGTGTGTGATAAGACCACAGAGGAACTGTACAAGTGCAGGTCCATTAACCATTTATCAAACAGTAGCCTTTTTACACATGAGAAACTGACAAGTTCAGGAATTTGGTGATAATTCTTTGTGGATTTGTCACTATGAGCAACATCTTTTACATTACAGAGTTTTAAACACAAAATTGTACATAAAAGTAAGTGAATGTTGATAGCGCCAAATAGCATCCAGAAGTAACTTCAATTAACTAGAAATCATCATCTCTCTGGTGTTTTAGTGGAACATATACACCTTCCATTGTGTTAGACTGTTTCTAGGAGTGTAGCTCCTCTGTAGCTAAACCTGTGCAGACATGTCAGACACTCACCTGAGGTGAAGCTTCTCCAGGCTGGCGTCTGCCAGATCGTCGTTGGCCCTCTGATGAATGTCCCTTTGTGTCTCGATTTTGTGGTCGTCTGACAGACCATCTACTTTGTGGATGAACACCTCGAAGTTGATGTCTGGATTCACTTTGTAAGCTCTGGAGACTGTGAGATGTAACCGCCCGAGAGCCTCCACATAGTCATCCTAACACCAGGAAAAAAAAGGTGACATGTTTATTCATCTCACACAGGAAGAATTAAAACCTAATGTCAGACTAATGTCATCCTACCTGAGCATCGATGACAAAGATCAGAGCGCCGGTTCCTTTAAAGATCATCTCACTGTCAAACGTGGGGTCGAAGAAGTCCACCTGGCCGGGAAAGTCCCAGATCTGGAAGTTGACAAAAGAGGTGCCGGAGATGTCGTCCTTGTAGATTTTGTTGGTGCTCTCGAGGAACAGCGTCTCGTTGGGTGACATCTTGTGGAATACAACCTGGTCAGAGACACAGAAGGATTATTGTTTCATTACTGTCAGTGCCTTCTCTGATTCGCAGTCCTCATTCGCTTACATTCAACTGGTTACCCTTAATATCGACTTGATATTATATTTTGTACTCTACTGTTATTCTGTCTAATCTGTATATATAAAACCTTTTTTTATGTTTGTCCATTTTAGGGGACTGATCTCTGCTCTGTTGCTGTTTCTGGAGTTTCTTCCATTTTTCCTGTTAAAAGTGTGTCTTGTGGGATTTTTTGCAGGACTTAAGTATTAGTTCTTGCAAAAGTTCGTGCAGCTTGTTTAATCTACAACAATGCATCATATTTAATAAGTTCATCAGATTTTGTATGTAAAATCCTATTATTTATAACATTTTCAAGTATAAAGTAGCATGAAATAACATAATCAAGTAAAGTACAAGTACCTCATATTTGTACTTAAGTACAGTTCTTGAGTAAATGCCTATATTACACTCCATCAGTGCAAAAATAAGCATACTTACAAGTGAATAACAACACTGTGTTATATCAGCTATATTGACATTTAAAATGAGAGACCACAATAAAAGATAGATGTAACATAAAGTCTTCTCAACTTTCATCCCTTTCTAGGACCTCAGTTTTCCTCTTTCACATCACCTGGACAGCAATTTTGGATTTTGACCCCTTTTCCAAGAAGTTTTTTGGGTATTAAAAATGCCAGCTTAGTGTGGCCAGAAAAACGCCTCTCTAAAACTGTCTGAACAAAACATTATAACCTTCACAAAGGCGAGATTTATTGCAGGACTGTCATATTAGCTGTGGCCAGGTGTACCTAACAGACCTTTTTCACGACAGACATTTTGACTTTACTGTATTATCATTAATGATGGCTGCATTCCATTTCAGCAAGTCCTGGTACTGTGCACACAGGCTCACTGGAGTAGCTTACTGGATTCCCCAGATCCCAATCTGATCGAGCATCCGTGGGACGTGCCAGTACCCCACCTCACAACCGACAGGTCTCAAAGGGTCCACTGCCAACGCCCCAGCGCCAGACTCCAAAGCACACCCCCAGAGGTCCCGTGTCCATGCCTTGACATGTCAGAGCCAAGCCCGATCCAAAAAGGCCCCACTGTGGATCGGGGGTATCTCTGGGGTACTGGCACGTCCCATGAATACTCAATCAGATTGGGATCTGGGGAATTTGGAGGCCAGGTCAATGCATTGAGCTCTCTGTCACGTTCTTCAGGCCAATCCTGAGCAGCTTTTGCAGTGTGGCATGGGGCATTGCTCTGCTCTCGCTGCCATCAAGGTGCACTGTTACCATTTTAGGGGGTGAACTAGGTCCACAGCAGTGTTTGGGTGGGTGCTGCATGTCAAGTGCTATCCACATGAATGCCAGGAGCCAAAAGTTTCCCAGCAGAACACTGCACTGTAACAAGATGATCAGTATTATTGACTTCACCTGTCAGTGGTTTTAATGTTTTGGCTGATCGGTGTATATAGGTAACTAAATATCTTCCCTGCAAGAGTAAATGTAGTTTTATTATTTCTTTCTTAATGCCTTAATTTACGCTGATACATTTTGTTGCCTATTATATATATATATTTAGTCATTTCAATATTTGATTATGGGTTTTCTGTCTGTGTAGTGTGGAGGGGGCTACAACTCAGAGTCCTTGTGCAATCCTGTGTTGCACAATGAGCTGAACCTCACAACTACAGTTTTGAACAAAACCTGAACACCATAGCCTTCAAACAAGAGGGATTTATTGCAGGACTGTTGTATTATCTCTACCCAGGTGTACCTCATAAACAGATTTACATTGTATTAATATATTTGCCAGTCTTGTAACTCAAGAAGTGTGTTTTAAGATGATTTTTTGGTGGTGTGTTTCAGATGACTTACCTTTTGAATAGATGACTTGCCACTCCGCCTCAGTCCCATCAGCAGTATCCTGGGCTTGTCAGGTGATGTGGAGCTCTCCTCCTCCACCCCGTAACCAAAACTTTTGGGAAACGACCCCACAACATCGTAACTCCCCGTTAACGCGGGCTCCTCATACAAAGACATACTGAACTTTACTATCCGGCCTGCCCTATCTTATTTAGTTACACTCTTTTAAGGCCGTCGGTGCTTTTACTTTAAGCTAACTGGCTAAATGATCTACACAGGAATGTTGATTTTCACACCGAGCTAGCATGGCAGGCTAATTTGCTAGCAGCTGTAAACGCGGTGTTTATGTTAAAATCCCACGTCAGAGAGTCACGTATCCACCTGTATCCACACGGGGTTTCAAACAAAATATACCAAGGGGTTAAATGACCACAATATCAGAAAATACGTGATAACTTCAGAATAGAAATCAGGAAGGGTGATTTTAAAAAAAGAAAAAGCAAAGGCGAGTCACAAGTTGGACACTTCCGCCCCCTGACGCCTTAGCCCCGCCTGTTAATTCTGATTGGCTGTTCACTCCAAACATAATCACATGACAAGCAGCTACAAACAGAAGCAGGAAGAACAAACGGTGAGTAAAGTCTCTGGCCGTTTATGCTCTTTTAAGATTTAATTAGGCTTATCACATCAAAACTATATCATTTTGTTTAAATATTAGTTTAACGTTAACCTTATCCATAGTATAAGTCTGCTACTACATGTTGCAAAATGTGTTAGCATATTGATTTATTTCATGTAGCGTTGAACCTTGATAAGTTAGTTACCTTGTGGGAGCTGACTTCCACCATGATTGATTGTAACGTGAAGTATCTTTATTATAGTGCAGTTTAAGGGCTGATTCATTGTTTCAGCCTTGTTGTTTTGCTGATGTATCCGAGACAGGCTTTGCGGAGTTATAATGAATTGAAAGCATTGTAGATAACAGGAAATAAAATTAATTTAGTGACTGTATTTCACATGACTCTGATCTCCTGACTGTTGGTCTAACGTTGATTATTCTGTTTTTGAATTTTTACTTTATATTTAGTTATATATATATACAGAAACTTATCTCATTATTATCTGTGAGGAGATCGATAAATCTGTGTAAATGTGTTAATCTGTAAACATAAATCAACTTCCACAAATACAGAAAAAGATTTGTATTCCTTTAGAGATATTTCTCCAAATATAAATCAGATCTGCAAATACACAAACAAATTTCAAACAAACAAACAAAAAAGGCCGAAAGTTGTAAATGTTAGAAAGAGAAAGATATTAAAAAATGTTTTCTATTTATTTGTAAATTAATGTTTTTAAAGATATTCTTTTTATGTGTGGCATTTGTTTGTGTATTTGCAGATCCATTTTATATCTGCAAAATATTTTTGTTTGAATCAACAAATCTTTTTTTTGTATTTGTAGAAGATGTTTTATGTTTTCAGATTACACACAAACACATGGATCGTCGATCTGTTCACACAAATAATACTGAGACAAATATATCTCCATAGTTATATTATTATCATAAGGAGAGAATGATAAAAGTTGAATGTCTGACTCCAAAAATAACAGGTACCTATTTTTTTGATAAATGCTTAGTTAAAAATAAGTATACAGAATTAAAGTTAAAATAGCAAAAATAATATATGCAGAGGCAGGTCAGAGATGAAAGATTGACAGGATCTTTTAATGATAACAATCTGTATAGATGTTTACAGTGAACAACAAAGAAAGTATTTCTAGTGTGACATTAGTTGTATTCCAAGTTTTGTGTTGAAAATTTATCACAAGCCATACTTACTACAAACAGTTATGGGGTTAAGTTAATTTGTGATTGGTCTAGTTGCTCTACTGAGTCTTGCAGAGGTATGCCTTAATCAAATACAACAAAGTGAAGATGGTGTTTGTTTCAGGATCCAGGATGACATCAGCCTTCCTGTGTTTCCTCCTGGCTGGTCCAGTCCTGCTCGTTGCTGGCAGCTCAGTTTATGATGCCAACAATGGGACCGTACCAGTGGTGCTGTGGCATGGGATGGGTGAGTGACTGTGCTCCTCATTCTCACACTGAAAAGAAGAAAAGAAACCTTTAACATCCATTTCCCCATTTTAATTTCCTCTAATGTGGTTTTAATGTCAACAAAATCATCTTATTCAGCTCTGTGTGACAGCGTCACTTGCTTGTTACCGCTCTAAAGAAACTAAACTGAAGAAAAAAAACTCCTGATATTTTTTCAAAGATTTATAACATTGTGAGCTTTCTCAGGGCCACAGACATATTTCAGAACAGAAAGTGAAAGGGAAACTGCAGTAGAGCATGATAAGACATTACACATCCACCCATGTTATTGCTTACACTTTGGTGAGAGTGAAAGCAAAAAAAAAACAAAAAAAAAAATCCCCCACCACCACTTCTTCTAAACCTGAACATTAACACCTACGGTTGCTCAGCTGAAATAAAACCCCCTGAGAACTGTAATGTGAAAGAGGTGCGGTGTGCAGCCTCAGAGTTACACTTACAGCTGCAAAGTTGCTCATTTTAATTGCATAGTGTTTCGGAAAATACAGTCAGGGGAAGTGAAAAAACAAAACAAAAACACTTTCTCTTCTCCTTCAACAACAATGGCTCGGGTGCTTCTGAGGTCAGTAAATCCAATGAAAGGACAAAAAAATCAACAACATCCATCGCAGCACTCTCCCATTTCTCTACCCTGTCTATGACAACCAAGCAGTGGTGGACACTTGAGTAAGAGTAGCAGTACCACAGTTTAAAAAATACTCTGTTACAAGTAAAAGTAACTGAGTATCATCTAGAAAATGTACTGAAGTAGAAAAGTAAAAGTGCTCACTATGCAGCCAAAATGGGCTCTGTCATTGTTACAATATTACACATATAATACTGATATTGATTCAGTAACATGAAATATGCATTTTAGTGTAGAGTTGGATGTAGTAGTGCTATTTTTGACTGTTGGGTTGAATTTACTGATTGTATTGTAGTTTATGTTATCATTATAGTTTTTTAAAATCTTCTTCTTCAAAACAACTGATAAATACGTTAACAACACTCAATATTTCTCACTTATTTTATTAAATGTATATTGGAAAATGGTATTAAATTAAATTTTATCTGTTATTTTATTATCTTATTGATTTTATTTGTCTTCAGGTTTTTTTTTGTCCTTTTAATCCATTTTATTAATCTTTTTATGTCCTTTTAAGTTATGTTATTCCAGCTTTTATTTAATAATTGTATTAAATTGATTTATTTATTTTGGTAATTTATATAAAATAATAAATAATTAATGATTATATTAATGTTTATTATTTTCATATACTTTTTCATTTATTGATTTTTTTCTTATTTTATTATTTTTATTAATAAGTAATTAATTATTATTTTCATATACTTTTTATTTTTTTTATTTATTCATAATTATATTATCATTATAGTTTTTTTCAAATCTTCATCTGCAAAGCAACTTATAAATATGTTAACTACACTATTGACAATATTTTTCACTTATTTTATTAAATGTATATTGTAAAATGTTATTATATTTGAATTTATTTGTTATTCTATTATGTTACTGATTTTATTTGTCTTCAGGTTTTTTTTTGTCCTTTTAATCCATTTTATTAATCTTTTTATGTCCTTTTAAGTTATTTTATTCCAGCTTTTATTAAATCAGTTTAATTTTTTTGGTAATTTATAAAAATTAATAGGTAATTGATAATTAATTGTATTTTATTGTCATCATTTTTCTCTTGTTTGGACTTTTTCATTTATTTTATGTACTTCCTCAATCTATTTTTGAATTCTTATTACTCCTTATTATCATTCTTTTTACTCCTATTACTGCTTTAGCTTTATTTTATCACATTTTCATTATTATTATTGTCTCGTGACTTGGTCTCAAAATGTTAAATAGTTAAAATGTTTTTGTCTTATCTACACTACACTCTACACTAAGGTTTGATTGATGAATTGATTGATACAAGTGCCAAAATAAAACACTCAAGTAAAGTACAGTACTTGAGTAAATGCACTTAGTTACATTCCACTGCTCCACACAAGACCATTTGTCTCCCCTTTTTTTAAACAAACATTGCTCTAATAGGAATAAAAAGGGCATTTATGGGGGACTGTTTTCAGTAGTTGATTAACACACATTTGTTGCTGTAGAGACGACAGCAAAATGATGTATGTGAGGCTCAAAATAAACCACAGTGCAGCTTCATGGTGATGAAGGAACATGCCATCCAGTGCAATGTCGTGGTCCATTTTGTATATTTGTAGTGTATTTTTGGGCACCAGTGGAGCTCTATGGCACACAGGAATAATAAATATCATCTAAATATCAGACTATACTTGGTTTTAACAACCACTACATGCACTACATTTAGCACTGTAAAGTGAGTCAAGTTTAACTAAAATGTTTACATGATAAATGATAGTAAATGTTTGTGTGTCCACCAGGCGACAGCTGCTGTAACCCGCTCAGCATGGGGGCGATAAAGAAGATGATTGAGGAGGAGATCTCTGGCGTTTACGTGCTCTCACTGATGATTGGAAAGAATGTCATTGAGGTACTTTCACAGTAACCAAATATCCAAAAGTGATTAAGTTGCTGGAGAGAATAGAACTCATCTTTTGACTTTTATTCTTTCTTCTATTCTAAAATGTCGGCGCTTCATTTTATATTTACTTTTTTATCCATATAATGTCATTTTTTTATGTTTCTCTGGCTAAAAAGTAGCTACTTTAAGTTTGGTAACTCCAAACTTAACCAAAAAGAAATCTACTGCAATGGTAAAGTTACATAGATTAATTCACTGCCTTCAACAGAATAAACAAGTCCTCTTTTTGTTGCATAAACACACAATAAATATGAAAATATGACACGTTTAGCCCAAAGTGTCACATGTGAACCCAGCACTCACACAACAGGTTGGATTGATACATCCACATGACGTGTGAGGATTCCTCTTCTGTGATATTTGCAGCGCTAGTGGCACAGGTTACATCAGAAAAGTGGCTCTTTTACAACTTCACTATGTCATTTTTCAGTTTTAATATTCATAGCAAACCAGCACGACTCTGCTTTGATCCGTCGTGACACCGTGACTTTATCTCTCAGCTCTTCTCCTCGTGGACGGAGCTCGTTTTCTTCTTTCTAATCCGACCGCTACGCTTTGACCTTTTCATGTTTCTCCTCCTGCAGGACACAGAAAATGGGTTTTTCATGGACGTGAATAAGCAGGTGTCCATGGTGTGCAGTCAGCTGGCTCAGGACCCAAAGTTGAAGGGAGGATACAATGCTATGGGCTTCTCCCAGGGGGCACAATTTCTGTATGTAACCACTGTTCTGGACACTGGATGGTTTTGTTACGTGAATGTGGTAGAAATTGGACAAATTCTGTGTTTCCCTTCCTGCCTGATTCTTCTGCAGAGTGAATGAAGCACCAGAGAGCACACAGAGTAGTGTGATCTCAGAGCTTCGTCCTTTGTTTGAGCGTGTTGTCTGTATAAAGTGTTTGTCTCCTGACAAAAATAAGGAAGCTGCTGGTTCCTGTGTTCTCAGGAGAGCTGTGGCTCAGCGCTGTCCCTCGCCACCAATGAAAACCCTGATCTCAATCGGGGGCCAGCACCAAGGTAACATTGTTATGAGCAACCCAAAACACCAGTCCAGCTCACTTCCCATGACAAAGCTGGCACTAGATACATTTTCTGTTTCTTTCATTTCTGTACTAAACATACAAAGCTAATAAATGCTCAGTTGTAGACAGGGCGTCTTTTTGGCTCCTGGAACCAATTTTAAACTGCTTTTTTTACTCAGAATATCCTGTATGTGGCCCGTATATGTATCAGCTCTTTGTCAAAACCAGACAAGCTGTGTCCTGACCTTTTTTATTTATAGCTCCTCCATCATTTTTAGGCCTTGGAAGACAGTGTGACAGTGTGAGTATGAATCACTGTTATCACTGTGTGTGTGTGTGTGTGTGTGTGTGTGTGTGTGTGTGTGTTCTTCAATCCCCAGGAGTGTACGGGTTGCCCCGGTGTCCCGGAGAGAGCTCCCACATCTGTGACATGATCCGCAAAGCTCTGAATGATGGAGCATACTCCAAACTGGTTCAGAAACAGTACGTTCCCTCCCCTCTCTGCATGATTGTTTATCGCTCAGTGGTGCTGATGTGTTTAGTGGCGTTGATGTTAATGAGACTCTTCACCACTGTACAGACTGTTGTTCTGGAGCACTGACTGGATGTTGTGTTTGTGGTTATCAGCCTGGTGCAGGCCCAGTACTGGCACGACCCGTTAAACGATGACCTGTACAAGAAGTACAGCCTCTTCCTGGCCGACATCAATCAGGAGAGGGTCAGTATGTGGCTGCAGACCGGCCCCAGAGTCTGAAAGCAAATGCAAAGTTTGGATTAAAGGGATAGTCTGGATTTTTTTAAAGTGGGGTTGTATGAGTTTGGAGAAACAGGAAGGAGTACTGACATGGAAGCAAAGCAACGTACTGCTGTGGATGGGGGCAGCAGCAAAACATATTTAAGATGCCTATAATCCGAATCAAGTTGGCCATAATCGGCTCTCTCTGTATGTTTTGTCATCTCTAAAGGCCGTAAATGAGACGTACAGGAAGAATCTTCAGTTGCTGGAGAAGTTCGTCATGGTCAAGTTCCTGCAGGACACTGTAGTTGATCCTGTTGTTACAGAGGTAACGAACACACACTCTGTATGATACACTCTATATGTATCATACTCTCTGTTTCACTGAATATACTGTAATAAAGCCACGTCACAAACAGTCTTCTCCTGATTCTCGCTGTAGTGGTTCGGCTTCCTGAAAACCGGCCAGGCCAAAGAGACTGAAACTCTACAGGAGAGCGTTCTCTACAAAGAGGTAACTGTGCCCATTTGTCTTGTCTGGAAGTGATACATATTCTAAGATAAATTAGTATTTTTTATTTTCTTTGTAGTGTATGGCTCCTATTAGTCTTAGCCACAGTTAAAGGGACATTCCACTAATTTTAAACAAAGTCCACTTTCCTTGTTATGAGCACCAGCTTGTAAAAACAACTGAGGTAGGTTATGACATGCAATTTAAGTCCTTCGTTGGACCTTTAGGCTCTCTAAAGTGTGAGAAAATTACCCTGAAGATAGCATTAGGGTAAGCTTGACTCACATTAAGGACAAAGGTCATCTCAAAGGACATCTCAAACTCTGCTGCACTGATTTAGTTTGTAAATTGTCTAATAAACCAGTCGTAAAGATATAATTAACTTTTCCCATGTCAAAATGTCTGAAAGCAACTAGACCAGTGTTATATATTTTGCTGAGATGTGTACTTACTTGCATTATCTCGGACATTTCCAATAATGCTCAAACACAAAGAATCTGTCATCTCAATCAAGGATTAGTCTGCAACATTTGGTCACCATCATTTGTCAGTGGCATCATATCCCCTTTGCGCATGCGTCAGGGAGGCTGTCATAATTTTTACAATACTCTTTTTAGATCTTGGTTGATTTTGACCATATGATTTAACCAGATGAATGATTGTAGTCATGAGACAGCTGCATCTGAAGTTACCAGACAAACAAATGTTCGTGGCAGCTCAGCTCCAATTCCTGTTGTGCTGATCAGCACTGGAGAAACACTTATTTTTAAATGTAAAACTGCTTTAGTTAATGTTTTTACTGGTTTAAATCACTGGGTCCATTTGTTTGAGAGAAAGAGACCATACGATGAGCACTGAGAGAATCCTAAGCAGGAGAAACTGGCTGCAGTTAGGGTATTCTCAGTCAGTTATCGTCTTGAGACCCCTAGTGGCAGAAAATTACATATTGTAGGTTTAAATTCTGTTCATGCCTTAAAACTATTGTAATGTGTGCAGATTATTTTCAGTATTATTTTAAAGTTGCCAAATTGGTCATACATTTTATCCTTCTTCTCAAGAAGTTTAACAGATAATTAAGTCTTAAGACACTGTAGTATTGTTATCTTACACCAGTGACTGTCTGAGGATGTTAAATCGTATTACATTGTCCTCCTGCAGGATCGTCTGGGCCTGGCAGCGATGGACAAAGCTGGAAAGCTGGTGTTTCTGGCAACCCAGGGAGACCACCTGCAGTTCACCAGAGAGTGGTTCAACGCAAACTTGCTGCCTTATTTACGCTAAAACACCTCAAGTCAGTTGTTTCGGAGTAAATATAATATCAGACTAACTGCTGTTCTGTTTCCATAGCAATATAATGCAAGAGTAAAAGCTTAATAACTTGGGCAGGGCTGCAGAAAGCACACCATTCCTTTTGCACTGATCAGTTGTAGCATATTGAGGTTTTGTAATGTTAATTTTAGCAGCTAATTTGTGTGTTGGCGTACAGCTACATTACCAACACTTATTTCCACTGCGAGTTGTTCTGATGAGGTCAAATTGTTGTTAGAAATGTTGGATTGAGACTTTTTTTTTAAGATAAATTCTTTCACTAAATACATAATTTAACTGCATCTGTACAGACTACATGTTTAATCAAATAAAGACAAACAAAACAAATTTATTGCAACATGTTTTAATGATGTCTCCAGTACTAATGAGCAAAATTCTGATTTTTGGACCCAAAAAAAAAATCAAGAGGTAAAAAGAAAGAGACGATATAAAAGAAAATTCAGCGAACAGCATCAAGAGCTGAAGATAACCAAAGAGTGCAGGTGTGAGCTCAGAGTGATGGTCAGGTTAATATTTCAAGACTATTCAGTAATTATTAATATCTACACAGATGATGACAGCAGATATTTCCAATCTAGAGACTGAGGCGGAGGTGAAGCATTCAATCGACGATGATGATGTCCGTCAGTCTCTCTCTTCCTCTTTGTATCGCTTTGCTCTTTATCGCAAACTTTTCTTACATGCCTCTTTTATATGGAATGTTATTTTAGTATTTGGGAATGTGCTATGTGTGGGGTTTAAGGAAAAGCACATGGAATGATCATTTTATTGTTCCAACATCATCTAGATGGAGAGTTTCAGAGTTTCATGATGTGCACACAACTTGTTTTTTCTCCTATGAATGTGCTCTGAGAGTGCTGACTTCTTTTTCATATTATTATCCACTATGAATGTTATTATTATAGTCAACTATTGTCAGCGGAGGTGATATGGATGCCTTTATCCTCTGTTTGACAAGTGCTTCACCAGTGGGTTGCATATAATGGAACAGAAACCTATCAGGCCACAGCTTAAAAAACGCCAGCTGCTCCCGACCAGAAGAGAAGGAGTAATAGCTGAAGCATCCTGATAGCTGAGCCTGATTGGCTGCAGCGCTTTTAATCCCATGTTAGCTAATCTACGTGTTAAATTTAGCTTAGCATTATCCAGATAGATACAAAATAATATACAGAGCATCCCAGCTATTGGCAAAACTCGTGAATGTGTTCGAAAAGTGCTCACTGGCTCACAGGAAGAAAAAAATCTGAACGACAAGCCGCTCCCTGCTGATTGGCTGGAGGATTTTGCTCCAGATAAAAGCGAGCAGTCCTCTCATTGGCTGATGGAAGGGACAGCTTAAGCTGTGATTGGCTGTTAGGGGGGGGGGGGAATATATGAGATCCAAATCTCAAGTCTACAGTGTGAGAGTTAGCTAGTGGGGTGGTCGATCAGTCAGGAAGGCATTTGCAAAAAAAGGAGGTGGGGATGGTGACGAGGAGGGGCCGCCGTTTCACATGCTGGCCCTGTCTAGCCGGCGATCTCTGTTGCTGTGGTGACAAGCTTCTTGCCGTCCCAGACTGTCTTGAACTGCTCAGGAACAGCGATCTCCACCTGAGAGAGGAGAGAGAAGTCGTGCTGAAATGTATATTTCATATGTATGCGTGCAGAAAAGGCTGGGGATCCTTTAGAAAATTATGATACCAACACCAGTACCAGTATCAGTATCAGTATCCTTAAAGTGACACTGATAACAATAGAGTACTTTAACCTATTCAACACAGGTAATGTGAAGGGCTTTACTAGGGCTGTGAAAAGTGGAGTGTAGTAGCCATACTTTCATACTTACAAATGTATGCTAGCTCTGTCAAATACACTGTGGTCAATTTCACCACAACACAGACTGTATGTATGGGTTGTAGCTGCTGCTGCTGCAGGAGTGTGAGCTCCACCAGGCTGCACACACACTGACATGGCTAACTGTTAGCATTACACGGTTTAATAACAGAGTGGAGCCATTTTATTGTCAGGGTGAGTTTGTCTGGACTATTTAACAGCTCAGTGTAAGATGTCAGCTGCTGCTGTGTTAGGTCATGTGAACTGAGCAGACACTGAATTGACCTGAAGGAGAACGGCTACGGAGACAGCAGCTACAGAGAGTTTGCTGATCTGGTGGGGAGTTATGAAGGTCTGGGATCAGAACCCCAGCACATAAAGGATTGAATTTTGGCATCATGTGACTGGAGATATTTCGTTACTACTTGGTACTGGGTTATTTCGGTTGATATCTTAAAAGTATTGAGTACCAATATGTAGCCATAATGTGCTGAGAGGAAAGGCTAGAAATAATTGTTTATCTTATTGTCAACAAAGCCCATGAAAAGACTAACCTGTCCATAGGATTCAGACCCAAGCCAATTGGTTCTACAAACAGACAGTTGTGATTTTTTTTCAATTCCCTAACACATCTGGACACTGTAGTTGTCAGCAAATGTTGCTCAATCGGGAGCAAATAATGCATTTAGTGGGAACCAACTTTCAGCTGTGGATCCGGTGCCCTAGAGAGGATTTAACAAGCCCTGAGGATCAGCACTGGGCTACGAGGCATCATTTATCATAGTGGTCATTTGTGCACTATAGCCACGTTTCCGACAAAAACTTTTGTTGTAATAACCTAAGAATCTAAATGTAACCTTTAAGGACATTTACCTAAACTCTAGATCTGTTTGGCATTTCCACCACACACACTACTCAAATGTAAGCATGGTTGTTACCACATGGCATTGCTGTATTTGTCTGAATCTCGATCATCCACAGAACGGGACTGCACACTGTCATTATAAGATCAAAAAAGAACAGGCTGGAGTGTTTAGAGTCTTTGTGGTAACTGATGGAAGTCTGTGTCGAGCAGGAGTGACAATTCTCTATCGATCAATCAACGGACTGCAAAGTTTCAAGCTCCACCTTTTAGGATTTGATCAGTGTGCTGGGTGCCTCAACAAAGAGGGAAAGAAAAAAACAACAACAGAATGGGACACTTCTGTTGGTGCTGTCCATAACTGTTGATGATGGATACACAAAAATAACCGTTCTTATGAGCAACAAACTGACCTGGAATGCTTGGTGGAAACGAGGTTTCTGACTTGAAAAACACTGGCCCGAAATATCACCAGACTTCTTCTTTAACCGTTAAAAAATTTCCCTGCTTGGGGCGTCGGTGGCTTAGTGGTAGAGCAGACGCCCCATGTACAAGGCTGTTGCCGCAGCAGCCCGGGTTCGAGTCAAGCCTGTTCACTCACTCACTCACTCACTCACTCACTCTGTCCATTAAAGGCAAAAAATATCTTAAAAAACATTTCCCTGCTACAAAAGATACTCACAAAGTCATCGTCTTTCGGTACCAGGATGTTCATCTCTGAGCTCTTGGCGCTGATGATCTCGCAGTTCAGAGAGTCCTTGCTCAGGTAGACATGGCAACCGTCCGTCTTGTTGATGGAGATAGTGGGGACCTTACCCAGGACCTAGACACAAACAGGCAACAAAGTACATGTAATAGCTGCTGTATGAAAAGTTTAATTTATTTCTGCTGTATCTGATGGGACAAACGTTTCTGTGCTGAACTACCATCAAGATTTCCTTCAGCAAAAGGACTGAATCTAATTACAACAGTGACTGAAGAGAGACACCGCAGAAATGACTGTGTGATATGAACTGAAACAAAGCCACTGGGTGGGATCCAGATATCGAACATCACACTGATATCCCTCCATTAGGAGGGATAGAGCATGAGATGGATGACAGGCCACCTAGGTGGAAGGAAGTTCAGGAGGTGGTCAGGCGTGCAAAGGCTTCTTCGGCCCCAGGGCCTAATGGAGTCCCCTACCGGGTTTATAAAAGTGCGCCTGATACCCTTAAATTTTTGTGGAAACAGCTAAGAATAGTTTGGGAAAAACAAATTATACCAAGAGCATGGCGTAGGGCAGGGGGTGAAATAGAGTATGGTGAATGTGACAGGAAAGCTAGTATCAGCATTGCTTCTGCCTGGAGCTCGCATGTATGGAGCCTGGGTTTGGTTGAAGATGGCAGTGCTGTTTGGGCTGAGAAAGCCATGTGTAAGTAAGAAGGAAATCCAGGAAGAGGAAGGTTATTTAAGTGTGGGAGTGGCCTATTTGAATCCATTTTGTTTGAGACCATGCTGCAAAGTGAGTATGTTTGCTGATCCTGTGAGTTCATTTATCTCCTTTAACTTTAGCTTACATTGTAGTTATGCTATGTAGCGTGTGAAATAGAGTATGGTGAATGTGCTAGTAAAGGTAGTATCAGCATTGCTTCTGCCTGGAGCTCGCATAAACGGAGCCTGGGCTTGGTTGAAGTTGGCAGTGCTGTTTGGGCTGAGATCACTGTCCAGCCTCCTGGAGGTGTCATTGTTGTGAGGGCTCGTCCTGGGGAGGTAGACTGTACAGCCTAACCCGGCGGGGGAGTGTGATAGCCTAACAAGGCTTCCTTCCCTGGGTCTACCTCCTCTGTGGTAGTATAGGTAAGGTAAAGGAGGTTGTTCGGTTAGTGTGGGGAGCAGTGAGACCTGGCATTAGGGGAGTGTCTCTGGGACGCCAGAGATCACTGTCTAGCCTCCTGGAGGTGTCGTGGGACTAACTAGACGAAACACCGGTGAAAGGAGGTTCCCACCCGATGACCCCAAAGACATGCTAGTTATCACTGCTCACGGGTCTGTATAGTTAAGCCTTGCCATAATAGCTTATCGCAGGGCTTAGGAGGATTATTCACTGAGCGCTGATCCCTTTTTTTTTTTTTTTTTATTATTAGAGCACAAACTTCTTGTGTTTATTTGAATGCAGTCTGCTGAGCGAGTGTGCCACAGAAGAGTCATATGTCTGTTATAGTCTCTGTGAAAACAGCATTTTGTTAGTAAACTGCATGTTGTTTTACACACCTGGATCTTGACGTCCTTGCAGTTGATGATGTCCACAATGCCCACGACGTTGTCAAACACCAGGCCCGTTTTCTTACAGTTGTCTGATGGAGACCAACAAATGCTTTTTATTATTTATTTAACACGATCTGTTCTACCCACCATCACACTGGCAACTTTTACTTATTGTTACCCCAACTTTTTTATTGGTATTTTTCAAGCTAACAGTCATTTTTAAATAGTATTTAATTATTATAATTTTATTCATATCATAAGGTGCATTCCCATCCCTCTCCAAATTCAAAATATCATAAAAAAGGATTTTACACTCGGGGAAGGTGGAAAGTTGGTGTATCAAAAAAAGTAAAGGAAACTAAGTACAATGGAAACAGATTCAGCAAATTAGTGACATACCAATTTCAGGTTCTTACCTAAAGTGATGGAGTTAAGTTTGTTCTTGACTGTCAGGGTGCTATTGTTACACTTGAAAGCGTAAACCACTTGTTTCAGCTCAGTCTCTGCAATCTCCAGCTGTGCTTTCTCTTGGTACTCCTGCAGAATGAGAAGACAGAAGAGTGAAGAGGAAAGTAGAGATGGAGTTACTATAAAAGGCTAGCCACAGAAAAATAACACAATTTAATAAAAAGTAAGTCTGGTTCAGTTGTTCTCTCTAGTTAATCTGGCCTGTTCCTTATCTCCACGTCTCATCTCCACATCTTTCCTTTTGTATGGATAACTCACAATAACTTAAAATAAAGTCAGCTCTTTCTCATTTCCTCCAGTAATGTTTTTATTGAGAGTGAACAACTTACCACTTTCCACTTCTTGTCTTCCAGCTCACACACAGGAGGGTGTGTTTGGGTTGTGGGGGCAGACACAGGACCTCGGAGGCTCTGGGAACAGAAAGGTTTTGGCCCGGAACGTACTGAAGGACCTGTTCCCCTCAGGTTAGGATTCTTGTGGGTCTTCTGGTCGTCGCTCACATGCTTCAGGCCTGGAGAGTTGAAGGAAAGAGGGGAGATGCATTATAAGTCCTACAGCAGTTTGTAATTGATGATTTTTACAGTGGTGAAGAGTAACTATGTACATTTTCCCCAAGTACTGTACTACTGTTCAATCTGAGGCATTTGTACTTACTTTGTACTTCTATGTCACTAAAGCTCAGACAGAAATATTTTTACTTTTTACTCTAACTACAATTCTTGACATATATAGTTACCTTAAAGAAGACTGAACTGGAAAAATAAGAATTGTTATAGATTGCTGATCACAACCTACCTTTGGTGATGTCCGATCCCTTGTTAAGTGAGGCGAACAAAGCGTTACGAACGTCAGCACCACCATTACCGCCGCCGCCAGAGGGAGCACTGCAGTCCATGGGGGGAGGAGGTGGTCCAGGGGGAGGTGGGGGAGGACATCCACCAGCAGGAGCCCTGGGGGAAGCTGCAGAGGCGCAAGCCACAGGACCCTGTGGCGGACAGAAAATTAGAAATACTGTAACTGAAGCCATCTAGTGTCGTGACCAGCAAGGACAGATGAGGAGTACATGAGAGAAAGAGCAGGAGCTTAAAGTTAAATAAAAATAAAGTATTTACTTTTACACCCACTTAAAAAGTTTTTGTTACATTTATACCAAGTTATACAACTTTATGTCTTAAAAACACTCTAAGTTGGGTAACAGTAGATCTTGGATGTCTGTAGTACAGAGTCAGAAGTTCTGACTCTGACATGTTCTGGAGTGATTTTAAGGATGATTTTGAAATGATATCTAGGTGCTGCAGTGGTTAACTTGATCTGTAAATATATGAAACTGTTGTAAATTTTATGTGTTAATTGCAGCTGGAGAAAATGTAAAAATGTTAGTAAAGGAATAATATATCTGGCAGTAAATCCTTGTCTCTGACTGGCTCTTCCTGCCAAGAACATAAATGTGATTCATCATTTTAGCACTTGCTCTTAAAAAGCTGCTCCTACACTTCACTGTAGGTGGAAGTAAGTTGTTTGATAAATAATCACACTGACTCAGCTAAGAACTTTTTCTCGTACATTGGCTCTTTAGAGGATTCTCAAGTTTTATTCTTATAAGACTCACGGTCTTGCTCCAGGTCACCCCGGTGGTGTGGTGCTGTTTGATGTAGTTCTGGAGTTCAGTCCAGATGCTGAGGTAGGCCTTCACCCAGTCCACATGTGTCTTGTCCCTGTGAGGAAGAAACAGGCATTTTATATTTCTTTTCTACACCCTCTGGCAATTTATTGTTCCTTTTCACTGGTCACTGCGTCCCACAGGAAGAAACCAGACAATGCATGAGACCCAGAATGGAAACAAAACCAGAGATTATAACATTTAAAATAGAACATTTTCTAACCCACAGTAACCACTAAGTCCAAATCTCACATCAGAGATAAACGGCATGGTGCTGCAACATGTGTACTTTGGTTTAATTAAAAGGCATACACTTTGAGGGGTTGTGTTATTCTACAGTATTGTTGTTTGCTAATAAAAACATTTTTCCAAAACACTTAACATGTTTTACATGTTTTAATCCTGAGGTGTTTGGCTGAGCGAGGTCCTAGCTATGTACTTTTTGTGACATACGTGGGTAAATTACAGACCTACATAAATGCTCACAATAATAGCCTCCAAATCTGAGACAAGGCTTGACAAAGTACTGGGAAAACAAACAAACAGGCGAGTATCTGAATCCCAAAATTAAATTACGAATGAGTTTTTTTCCCCTAGGATTTTCTCCAGCAGCTGTGTTTTAATGCGAAATTTTTATTTTGTGCCACCAGGTGATATTTTGCATGTCTGCTGGCACGAGAAGTGTACATATTTGTATACAGTTGCAAAACTTAGCAGTAATTAAATGAGCACTACAGACTCTGGAGTTTCCCCAGCGATGTCCAGTTCTTTCGCTTTGCTGCTGTAATCCACACTTTGCACTGGTCTGTTTCTTTAGGGAAGCAGTAAACTTTATTTCTGACATTAAGTTTGTACCTTGTTGAAGGGAAACACCTACCACTCAGCAGCAAGCTCCTATAACTGATTCAGCCATTTCAGTTCAGGAAGGCTAGAGGTCAGCGTTTGATATGCTGTTTTTGTGAAGTAGTGGCAGGACAGGAAGTCTAAGTGGAACAATGATTTGTTTCCTAGGGACCGTAACCTGCCTTGAGATGGTCTAGAGAGTAAATACTGCCTTGTATTTGTATACAGGATTCAACAGAGCTTACTGACAAATTTAAATATAAGCCGTTTCTGTGTTCAGCATAAACAGGCTGATTTTGGTCCTCTGCCTTTGAACTTGACTGTAACTCAGCTCATAGGCACAAAAGCTTTGATTCCAGGTTTAAATACAGGAAGTCTGGCAGCAGCATGCGTCAGCGTGTCGTGTGGTAGCGCTGACTCAGTAAAACTGAACTCTATTTAAAAAAAAAAAAACAAAAAAAAAAGAGCCTGGAGGAAGGAAAGATGGGAGACAGATGGGTTGAGCAAATGGGCTGGCTGCATATGAAAGTTCATCTGACCCTTTTAGTTATCAGGCATCAAAACATTTCAAAAACAATTGACACAGTTTAAAAAAAAAAAAAAAAGCAAAAACAGAGATTGTTGCAACTAAAGTTACTGTGTGTACAGCTTTACTGCAAAACTGATGAAGCTTTACTCACTTTTCCTTGTAATCCTTTAGCACACGGTTGGTGTAGAACATGGCGGCATCCTGCATTTCTTTAACATAGGGGCATGGCTTAGGAGCCTGGGACACAAACAAGAAAAATAAACACAATTTAATCTATGTCTAATCTGAGATTAAATGAGTCGTCTGACATTTTGAGAAATATGCATGTTTGTGTTCTTACTGAGTTAGAGTAGCTTTGAACTGAGACTGGAAACAGCTGTTCTGCAGGTATTCTTAAGATACTAGTAGTGGACGTTTGTGCCAAATTTGAAGAAATTCAATCAAGGCGTTCTTGACAAAAATGGGACAGACGGACACACCTACAGTCTGTAAACATAATGCCTCAAGCAATGGCTATTGCTGGCATGGAGGCATAAAAAACGTGCATGCAGGCTGAAATTCAATTGTGCAGTTTTGCTGAGAGACGCAGTGACTTAAACCAACGGTAAAAAAAAGTATAAAGTAATTTGTTGAGTTATAAGTAGAGGAAAAAGTATGCTAGCCACCAGGCTAATTTATGCAATGTGAAAGTGCTAAGACAATAATGTGTGACCAGCAAAAAAACAATAGTTTTGTCTGTGAAACTTGACAGTTATTACTGAGCTGAATATGATACTTTTGTTATATGGGCATATTATATTGTCTCATATCAATTGCAGATCCCTGAATTTAATCACATCGAAATAGTGTTGTGGCCATCTTTGGACAATGACACGATACTTGCCGATATCATAAAAAACTGATATGTTTTAATATTCTTTAAAAAGGAGGAGGGGACCGCTGCAGAGAATTCGGCTGCTGGTAAAAATCTCCTGAACGACGAACACTGAAGGAATCCTAACCAGGAGTTCACGCTTGCCTGACTGCATTCTGTAATCCTCACCACTAGATACCACTAAATCTTCCACACTGTTCCTTTAAAGTACCAAAATTTGCCTGTACACTTTGGATTTTGTCTGAAGTAAACATAAAGATATAGAGTGTTAAGCAGTGAGCTTTGGCAGCACTGGTATGCAGTTTCCTGTTAATACTGGATGGAGCCAGGAGAGCTGGTTCCCTCCGTTTGCAGTCTTTATACTAAGCTAACAGGCTACGTTAGCTCCATTGTTAGCGTACAAACATGACTGCGGTGTTGATCTTCAACCAAACCTCAGCCAGAATGTGACTGAGTGTGTTTCATACATACTACTGTGGCAAATGGGTGGTAAAAGTAATAAATTCAGTTCACAGTCTAAGCTGATGATGAGATATTCAAGATATTGGAGTGGGCATACAAAAAAAGAGTGCATCTTTTATGTGTATATGAAAAACCCTGATGTGTTATTCATTAGAATCAGAACAAACAAAGGATTAATCGTCTAAACTGTAACAGTGAAGCTCTGTTGCTGGTGGAGCTGTGTCAGCCAAGAAACTGTCGCTCACCAGACAGTGATGACAGTATCAAAGAGCTGGTTGTTTCCGGCCATTATACACTCATTTATCTGCCCACACACACACACACACACACACACACACACACACACACACACACACACACACACACACACACACACACACACTCTGTAACAGACAAACAACAGTCCAAATGAGCTCCCTGCCCATTCTCACCATGGCAATCCATCCAAGGGCAGGCACGCTCTCGCTCACAGCAGAAAGGTGGTTGAACAGCGGCGAGGTGCGGTTCTGCTCACGAAATGACTGCACCTGCTGGATTTCTTTGGACACCGGGGCCAGGATATTCTGCAAATCTTTCTGAACAGGGAAGATGACACAAAGTTTCACAGTTACAAAAAGCAAATAAAATGTATAAAATATGGTACATTTTTAGTGAGTTAAAGTTTTAGATTTTAAGATTCAGGCGAGTTTTCTTTTAACCTGGTGACATTTGTGTACACCAACAAAATAACAATTTTGCTAATAGCCGATACCAATACCAATTTCTTTTCATAGTCATTTTATGTTTTTGTTGTTGAAACAAAGAATTTTGAAATTTAAAGTAAATTTAAAGTCCTAAAAAAAGGTCCTTAAAAGGCCTAAATCCAGATGCACCTGGTCATGTACAATACACGCATTTAGTGTTGCGGTGGAAGAAGTTGAAAACCTCCACCACATATATCTACGACAGGGCTCCTGATAAGTCTTTTTCTAAAGTATAAATAGCTGGAATATTCAACAGTAAGTCTGTAAGGAATTTTGAATCTAAATATTTAATGATCTGACAATATAATCAATATAATGGGGCAGGAAAGAAGGAAAAGCCATGACAGAGAACCTGCACAGGAGAGTGAAGGAGTTGCAGGGATGTAAGACAAGAGGCGAACATAATGAATTATTCAAACTGTTGAAATTGATTAATCAATGCTGTTTAGCTGACAGTGAAAATTAAGTGACCGAGCAATTACGAATTGTGTTTAACTCACGTCTGAGGGCTTCTGGCAGCTGCAGGCTGTTACGAGGAATTGTCTCTGAGTGTTGAATGCCACCTTCATCATCTCTGCCTGTAGAGGACGAGAGAGAGAAGCTGGTTAAATATACCTGGACAGAAATGGAGAACAAACATCATCCTGGTGTGTCTGAATGCTTTTGACCTTCAAACTGACAACTACATATCTAACAAAACGACAACGTACGCTAAACTCAAGACGTATTCAAATCTCGTCAAGGTTTGCCATTTTGATAGCATACCACAACTTGTGAACATGTACAATCACAGTCTGATTCTTTTGGTGTCATAGTGAAATAACTTGATGTACAGAACTCTATTCAACTTTCTCATTTTATACCATTTTTGCATGTTAACTGTAACGTACATGTTTCTGGACATCGCCGCCGATCTTCTGGCTGAAGGAGAGGTATTCAGCCACGGGACCTTTGACGATCTCGTCAAAGGCCTCGACGTACGCCGAAACAGCTACAGAGAGGGAAAACACAAGGCACGAAAATGCATTTTAACATTTTTAAAAGATCATGAGCTGGAAATTAAAATTCCACAAAACAAAATAAAAATTACACAAAGAAACAGTGCTAAATATCACCAAAATTCAAGAGTTATGACTTTTTCATTTAGATTGGAAGATGGCAAAGACTGAGGCACATTTAAGATCAGATTATGTTAGGTCTATAATTTAGTATTTAGAAGCATATTACCACCTACTGCTAGGCCTGTCACCATTACAAGTGGTGTACTTCTGTTAGACGATATATTGTCCCAGAAATAATTGCTATAAACAATATTATTGTAATTTCAAGACCATTTTATACCACCGATAATGTAATAGCATAACAACGCAAACACACCCTTTAAAAAAGAGCAATGAACTTTGAATAATTAAGAAAATTCAGACACTGGAAATTGAATGGGAAAAAAATCATTAAAATATAATAAATAAATAGAACAAAAATAAAAAGAATAGATAATAGAATTGACTCTCAGGCTCTGTTGCCAAAAAAATGCAATTAAAAAACATAAGCATTTAGAAAGGGGGTATAGAGAGTCATTCTTTAACAGGCAATATTCTGCCAAACTAGTTTTTTCAATGGTTCAGACCTTTTTTAACAGAGTACAAATGAATAATTTATTAGGTATAAGCAGCCAGCGGGAAAATCACCTTGAAGGAAGGGTGGTACTATGCAAACTCATTACACCTTGAAGCCAGATAGGAGGTCAGGGGTTAACGGATTGGCAATCTTTGTTAGTTTGAGAAGCTGCACTGACTGGCTGTGAGGCTTGCATGAACAAGTTGATCTGATTTCTTAAGTAAGAGTTGTGAAAGAAAAAGCCCAAAAGATCCCTTTAGGCTCAGTTTTGTTTCTACAGATTTATCTGACTAACGCATACTTTAAGTAGACTCAGATATCCCACTGAGAGACACCATCAACAGACCTCTTATGCATGATAAGTGGAATTAATCTACAGTGTCTAAATGATACTTGATCATTTACCTCCTCCAGCAGAATCTCCACTGCCTCCAGGTCCCGACATGGACTCCAGGCGACCCACCGCCACCTCCAGCCGCTGCACTAGACTCGCCAACTCAGCCATATCTGTGAAGGGGGGTGCAAATAAAGGAGAAATGAAGCTTCATCAATTCAAAAGCTCTTCATTTTTGTGTTTGTCCCAGTGTTTATAATATTTCAATCATCCAGAAAGTGGTACTTTCTGCTCTAGTAGTCTTCTAATTGGGGACTGAATTACTCCAGGGACACAAGGTGAAGGCAATTACTGCAATTCAAAAATTAGCCGCTTTGGTAGGAAAACAAACAGCAGCGCTCTGGATCCTCCACGTTTGTCCTTTGTTGATTTGGTCCTATGAAGCTTGGTAGACATATGTTATAAGCATTTCTCTCTGCAATCAGGTGTCAGGCTTATACCCCTAAAAGTTAGATCTTGGGAAAGGATCACTACAGAGAAAGACCTTTGTTAAAAAGAGTAAGATCCGTTTTCCCTTTGTTTAACGAGAAACAGTCATTTAGTGTGTATAGATTCAGCATATTCTCACATCTAACTGGGTGAATTAAGGATTCATTTCAACCCAACCACAGCTGGTGATTGTTGGAACAGTGGAAAGACAAATCAAGACGGTTTTGATGAGTTTTATTTTTTTGTTATTCAACAAAATGTCTATTTCTGTAGGGTCCTTTCCATAATGCTGTCAGATACTTAGTAACAATCTGAGCCCATCAGTGGCAGAAACAAGTACTTCTAATGGATGAAAATTGATGGTGCAAACATGCCCTGGATATTACATACACCAGCTTATGATTAAAGTCATTTCTTGCACAGACCAAGTCCTCCAGAATGTTAATTAATATTTCCAAATATGTAAACATGTAAATTTGCCATCTTTAGGAAATTTATTAAGCCCTTTTGACTCTGTAATAAAAGTCACTGAATTCTACCTTTCGTGGCGGAGTAAAGGAAAAGATGTGCTGTCTTGGTGAGCAGGTCAGGACTTGCTCAGTAAAGGTATGTCGATCATTACAAAACACTGCTGACTCTCTGTGGAGTGCAGACTTGCCCTGTTATCCCAACTGTGTCACTTGCACACACTTTTGTGTTTCACAAAAAAAAAAAAAAAAACTTAAAGGGCAGCAGCTACAGTCAAAACTCAGTAAACACAAAAGATGATGCTCTTTCTGATAAACACAACAGTAGAGAATGGATAACTGATTATCCTAACTTACCCCCCTTAAGCACATGATTAACCAACTTCAATCCAAGTCTAGCATAATCTCACATTTACGCATACACACACCTAATGAGAAAAGCTAACATTACATAAGACAGCTGTAACCTGACGCTGCCTTCACCTGTGTGCCTGAGAGCTCCTCCAGCCTCAGGTACTTACACCTGGCTGACAGTGAATGGAGGAACACAGACCACTCTCACTAATGAGTCCACGCAAGATAAACCTGCAACTACAGTGTCACTTTCACTACACAGGGACTGAACTAAATCTTTAGATATCTAGTGACTGAGGGAGCGGCGCGCTTAACGTTTTTGGCTCAGATAGACAAATCGAGGGACACATTTGAATGCACTTTCACTGGTTGTAACAATGGAGGGAAATGAGCTGCAGAAATGGGGTGTAATCTAATTTGGATACATAAGGGTTTTCTGTTACCAAAATGTCTGGTCAAATTCTTAATCTTGTTTTGTTACTCTTCAATCAGTTTGTTCTTGATTTTATCAGAAAAAAAAAAATCACGATTTTATTTGTGCATTAAAGTAAAAAAGTATTGTTTCTCAGGTAATATCCTGGCCCCAGTTTCAAAAACATTTAACAATACCAGGCTTCATTCAAATTATTCAAGTTCAAACCTTATGGAGATGTGATCTTTGATCCTTTTTTAAAATTATTTATGGCAGGTTGGAAAGGTTATTGGCAGAGCATCATGTTTTTTTAATGACCCAAACTTTCTATTGTTGCCAACATTAATCATGTTGTTGTAAGCATTAAAATGGTGCCTTAGAGCACCACTGGGTGAGGCAGGTTAAGATATCAGCCCTTAGACTGTTAAATGAAGTCATATCAACAGGGCAGACCAAAATGCCTCAGGATAGCTGTAAAAGTCCTACTCTTACTAGTCACACTTAAAAATGTCTCAGCTTCCCTTTTTCTGCCTCACACATTCAGACAGAGTTGTAAATTAATTTCTGCACAAGGCGTGCAGATGAAATTAGATCACAGCAGGACACACAGCCTTACTATCCTTGACCTAAATGCCTACATGTTCAGGGCCTCGGCAGCTCTTACATTCTACCTGCAGGCACCAAGGCTCAACTGCTCAACTTCCTGGTCTCAGCCGAGAGATGACTCACCAGCAATACAGGAAGGGAGTGGCCTCTAAAAGGTGTATGTGGGAGTAAAAACAAGCACCTTGAGGTTTCAGCTGCATACAAAATCTACTGTAGATGAAACCCGTTTATAATAACACTAACAAGCTTAATCCAGTTCTGCTATATCAGAAAAACATTCCCTGAAGTACACTTAAGTAAAGTGACCACATATGTTCAAGCCAAGTGCTAACCACCAAGGAAACTCCACTGTCAAGGAAGCAGGAACAACTTTCCAGAGATGTGAGAGCAGATATAGCAATGACTCAAGCCGGGGAATTATGCCTTTCATAACATTTTCCTTAGATCTAAGCACTATAAAAGGCAAAACTGGGACTTAACCACAACTCCAGAGGTGGAGGAACCAGACTCTATAGTAGCGTTTTGGACTGGAATTTAAGAAAATGTGCTAGATATGCATAAGATAGGATCCTTGGAGTTAAAAGGATAAGCCTGGGGATACTTTATATTTTTCTTACTATCAAAAAATCCCATAAAAACACCAAAACCACCAATAAACAGATCCTACTATCAGGTATTTTCTGTGTATCACAACCAACAGCTGATAATAGTTCCCAATAAGTACGCTATTATGTTAGTTTGGGTAACGTCTGCTATAAATTACAGTGCCCAGCCACTATAGGAAATTACTGAGCCTGTTTTTAATTAAAAATGAAACCATATATTTGTAACTTGTTTGTTGGCAGCAATAGAGAATATCACCAGCCTTATCCTTTTAACTAAATAGCCGACATGTATAACTCATACACTGGAACAAAGGCCACAAGCTCAACATAACTTTTCATTTTAGAAAGGAATAATAAATATGTGAGGTAAAACAATGTGTTGGTTTTGCAGAGAGGCATTATGTAAATCATACGTATGTACATAATTGTCCTGTTTATTCTTTCTTCATTTGTCTTGCTTTGTGGTCCTTGTTTCTAGCCGCTATGTCTATTTCTGTGCAAGTATATTGAGAGCTATGCAAAAAACCTGTAGTCAAATACCGTGTATGCATGCACATACAGATGTCTTAAAAGACATCCGAGCCACTTGTCTATATAGAAATTGTATTTGCTCTGCATTATAGCAATTGCTGGTCTCCATCAATATGTAAAACTGTATTCATAGACCTACTTTTGTGGACATATGGCACAAATGTTCTGCATGCAGCACCATCAGCAATGCAGGGGCAGTGAAGTAGGTTAGGCCTGTGTGAGGGTTTCTCTGCCTGGGGGCCAGACGATCAGACATAAAGGAGGAAGTGTGTGTAGCTTTTTCTATCTCTTTGCATGGAATAAACCAAAAACACACATCGTATATTTGTCGCAGAGGCAGGTAAGTAGGCCACAGCAATGGCGGTGAGATCTAACAGTCCTGGACAGCCCTACTTCGGTGGGCTCAAGGCTCCAACAAATCAAGTTCAAGCCGCTGCTGTTAATGCGATCACCGGGGTTCTCAATCAGACGGGCAGGGATGCTAGCTCGGCTAACGCTAGCTAGCTAGCTAGCTAGCAGAACCGGTGGGTGTTACGTGGAATTCTGTGCCCCCGACAAGTTGAGTCCCCCCTAAGTTCAACCCGTGAACTAGAAGTGAAGCCTCGATTGAATATGAGAGGTTGAGAAGACATTTTGATAGCATGAGTTTCCATGAATTTCCTAAATGATGTTAACATGTTGTAAACGGTTGTTTCTTCGATGAGGCATCAGTCTGCGATGCTTACAAAATGTGCCAAAACACCATGAGACAGCTAGCGACTGTAACTGCTGACAAACTGTGTCTGCTCGACAACATTAAGGCTGAGTTTGAGTTAAACGTGTTCAAAGATTAGTTAATAAGTGAGCCAGACTGGTGTCTATAATTTCCCCTCCCAGTTGTGAAGTGTCTCCAGTCTTGTTTCGGCATTTCCTGGATTTTTTTCTCCCTCACATACCCCTCCCTGCGTTAGCTAATGCTGCTAGAAGAAAAAGAAGTTTCTACATTTCCGCGAGCCGACGTCTCTCAGCACAAAAAGAAGAAGTTAACGAAAGGCTGAAACAGTTACAGATATGTGTCAGGCAACGGTTCAGCGTCAGATTTTGCGGCTAACAGCGTAGCAACATCAGCTAGCCGGGTATATTAGCATCACACCGATTTCAATAAATAAATAATTACTGAACGACTCGATGCCGCGGCGAAGAGGGAAGCGGCGATTGTCTCTTTCGCTTATTGTTATCTTTACGCTATGGCGAAAACGTTAAATACGCAACAAAACCCGCACACCCCAACAACTGCAGGCAGCTTACCTGCTAACCTGGTCAAGCAGTGATTTGGTCCTTTATGTCGCCGTGGGTGTGTGCGGTGTGCAGGCTTGCAGGGCAGACTGGGCTTCGTCCTATTCTTCCTGTATGTCGGTGAATTTACCCAGCTGTCACCGCGCCGCGTTTCCGCCCTTGTTCGCGCAACTAATTCCTTTCCCATATAAGGAGTGTGAGAGGCAGAGGGCAGCAATATAACGAGAGGGAAAAAAAGATGAAACAACTGCTTCCCTTCCTCTCATGGTGTATATGCAGGCTATGCAGCAGAGATATGTCATCATTGTATTCATTTCACTTAAAAACATATCTTGTGTGTTCATATAGGCTGTGTATCCATCTGCAGGCATGTGCGGTTTGCATAATTACTGGAGGAAACATCTCAGTATTACTGGCTTCTTGTGCTTTGTCATGTTTGAGTATGTTTGCAGGGCTGCTCTGGCCTCTGGTGTAAGGATGCATATGACTACATTAATCGTGCTTTCATTATAATCAAATAAACGGTCAGTTAATTCTGCAAGTAAGCAAATGGTTGTTCATCCTGTAAGAGCCCAATCTGACATCTTGTCATCTTGACATCTAGTCAGCAGGCAAAAAATATGACAGTGTTTGCATTTCTTGTAGCTACACCACTTAAACTGCTTAAATGGTAAGGGAAAATTTCCTCCAACCTTAAGCTATGGATTGGAAGACCTTATACACCATCTGAGTTTGGAGAATAGTCACTCTTGTACAAGATGGTGTGCTATAATACTGACCTGATATTATATATAGTTTACTTTTTAATTTGTATTTTATTTTATTTTTTGTAGGTTTTCCTTGTGTCTAACCTATGATTTTACCATTTTGTCACATTAAATTTGTTTATATGTACTTGTAATTGTGCCGTTGTTTCTGTTTGATTCCCGAATGGTACAGTGGCAATGGGGGGTTATAAATTGTATTTTTTGAATTGTATCTGTGATTTATTGTATCTGTATAACTTTACTTACCAATAAAAGAAGACCTTGAGCAGTCTCTCAAAACTGATTGCCAGTAGGGGCGTAAATATAGACAGTGCAGGCAGCACAATTGCACTGGGGGCCCTGGGGTGAGGAAAGAGTGTGGTCCCTCTAACTATGTTGGAGCCTTGCGAGTGATTCAGACTGCCACTTCAGAAATTTTCTTGTGTTCAAAGAAGTCATGTTAGTTTTAAAACTGTGCCATTTGCTATATACCTGTATTTTAGAAAGGCAAACCCACCTCTGTCCATCCATCCATTTTCGTAACTGCTGCTCTTGAGGGTCGCGGCGACTGGAGCCTATCTCAGCAGACACTGGGCGAGAGGCAGGGTACACCCTGGACAGGTCACCAGACTATCACAGGGCTGACACATAGAGACAGACAACCCTTCACACTCACATTCACACCTACGGGCAATTTAGAGTCACCAATTAACCTGCATGTCTTTGGACTGCGGGAGGAAGCTGGAGTAGCCGAAGAAACCCACACTGACACGGGGAGAAAATGCAAACTCCTCACAGAAGGGCTCCCTCCTGGGATTGCTGTGAGGCGACAGTGCTAACCACTACACCACCTTGCCGCCACCTCTGTCAAAGTTTTCTTTTTTTTTGTGTACAATAGTCAGTAGCAATCTATGATTAAATTATATGCTTATTCTACATATAAACTATAAAACAAAATGAAAATTATTCAATTAAATTAATAATTTGCTATTTTCTTGTGTATTTTTGAATATACAGATATGCAATGATGATTGCTGGGTAATATATATGTTGATGTTGTCTAATGTCAAGTCTATTTGATCATGTAACGAGTAACAGGCGTGCACTGGGGCATATCGTCCCTTACGCAAGGAGAAATTACATAACTGAATCAGCATATTTCTACCATCAATTGTTATAGATGTCATCATCTCCCAAATTGTGTTAATGGAGCATCAAAGGACAACTATTGAGGTTAATGGGCTTATAAAAGTCACTGAGAAAACAAACTGAGTGGAAGAATTGTGAATGTGATGATGGCTTACATCAGGGTCAGTGGGTGGAAACACTTATAGTCGCCGTGTAATGTGCAGCTAAGGGAGGTGGGTGTTTGGTTGTAAGGTACACAACCTGCAAAATATGGTGCAATAAAAATAAAGCCCTTACAGTGCAAGAGGGATGCATTTGGCATGAAATATGGAGCGTGGTGCACATGCACTGAGGCGCAATAACATACAAAGCATCATCCTACAGGGTGACAAGTCATAATTTACATCAATAGAGAAGGAAAAACGAGCCTGCAATTATGTTCTCAGCTGATCCTGCATGTGTCATGCTTCTACTGCAACGTCACATCTACTGTTATCAAGTATATCAGTCATTACAGGACCAGTTTTTTGCCCAAAACATATCAAGAAACAAATACACATCTGTCCAAAAAACTCAAGAACAAACTGAAACATTTTATTTTAATTTACAGATTATCCAGTTGCATCAGGTCTGGTCACACAGGAGGAAAGAAGGGTGGAAATCCTTCGCTAAAAGCTTATCTAAAACATCTTAAATTAAACTCCCTTCATTCAACAGTTGCTTCCTGTTTCCTCTATCTGCCTTCACAGTGGACTCCGTCAGAGTCGAGGTCAATTCACTTACTTCTCTAAATCCAAAAAGCGACTGAAATATGTAGTGCACCTAACAGAAGAAATGCTGAATTTTGTGTTGTAAATTGGCCTCGAATTTTCCTTCAAAGTTGTTTTCCCCTGTGAGTTCTTTCAGGGGTGAGTAAATCAATGTCAAATTTTAGCAGTTACTCTAAAGACCCTTCTTTATGATGTGCAAAAAACATGGGAAGAATATGACATTATTTTAAAGTGTTGCAAAAGATCACAATTCACAGCGTTGGCACTTGGGTGCACTTTGATTTTAGTTTGCCTCACACAAGTTGGGAAAAGAGGGCCTGGATGAAATCTGTTTAAAAAAAAAGTCTTGGCCCTGGCCTGATGTGCACCTGATGCTAAACTAGTGCAGCAGAACTGACATCAGCATGAGAAATAGACATTTTTTTTGCAAAATGTTTCAATGATTGCTTATTTCACACAGAGTACAAGTTGAAGTAAATCAATGGTGTACCCTTTTAACATTCAACAGAAAGAACAGAAGAAAAAGTGACTCAAAATGTGGCTAGTTTCACATGCAAAACAATCAGAGAATGTTGCAGGAAGAGTTATTTGGTTAAAGTGTCCCTCAATGCAAAACACCTGTCACTACAGATCACCTGTGTTCTTACAGCCATGTGTGTTCTGTTCTGTTTTTATGGCAAAGAAAAAATCCCACAGATGAACCTTCTGCTTGCATCTTACTTGTGGGAAGACAGTTATTTTTAAAAACAGTTTCAGGTCTAAGGAAGTTCGATGATACCTGTTTTAATGTCAAATTTTTGTTTCCTTTTTGTGTAATTTTAATAATCCCCAAATTGAACTGACTAAATGTTTGCCAAAAGGAAAGACAGGATAAAAGTGCTCATCCTGTGTGGACCCCAACAGATTATAATTGGTTGCTGAATTTGCACAGAAACTACAAAAATGACCTCAAAAGATTAAAAAGTTAAAGTCCTACTTTGCCACACATTTAGCTTACATCAGCATTTTCATTCCAAGCCTGCAGGTATGTAATAATTACTGAGGTGCTTTTGGACTTGAGCTCCATTCACTTTTGTTAACACATCCTCTTCCTTCATCTTCAAAGGGACAGTTCACCCAAAAATCAAAAATACATATTTTTTCCTCTTACCTGTAGCGCTGTTTATCAGTCTAGATTGTTTTGGTGTGAGCTGCAGAGTGTTTGAGATATCATCTGTAGAGATATCTGCCTTTTCTACAATATAATAGAACTAGATGGCACTCAGCTTGTGGTGCTCAAAGCACCAAAAAATACACTTGAAAAACTCAACAGCAATATCTCTTTCTAGAAATCATGATTCAGTTGCGTAAGATAATCCACAGACCTTGTTGTGAGCAGTTTCATGTAGGAACTATTTTCTGTCTACCGATCTACACCCGCCAACTGTATCACTGTGCAGAAGGAAGCGTGCATCTACTCATGGACGAGAGGCTCATGTTTATAACAGTGACTGCTTTAAATCAGTGGCTACATTTTTTTGAGTGTTACAACCCCCACAATATGACTCTTCTCACTATCATAATTTGATCAATTCAGTCTAACAGCATTCCAAAAGTCATATATTTGAAAATACAAGTCGTATATTCATTTAAGTAAGCAGAGGGCAAAACTGGAAGTTAGCTGCCTGACCTGCAGAAGTTAGCTGCTCAGCTGCCATATGTCTCTATAGTGCACTTGTTCTTTGGTCACCACAATGGGGGAAATCCAGATATTTTCATACCACATACGTTTTTTTGGCTTCATGTGCTACTGAGCAATGTTCATAGGAATAAATCGGGATCTACCTCCACTGCTGTATACACTTCTCTTTATACATCCATGGCATCCTCCTCTGTTGAGCTTTAAGGTTAGCTCGCTCTGGGGTGCTAGGTGAGCTAGCAGTAGATGCACTCTTCCTTCTGCACAGTGATACAGTTGGCAGGTGTACTTCCGTAGAAAAAAACAGTTCCTACATGAAACTGCTCACAACAAGGTCTGTGGATTATCTTGAGTAAGCGGGTCATGATTTCTGGAAGAGACATTGCTGTTGAGTTTTTCAAATGTATTTTTTGGCACTTTAAGCACCACAAGCCGAGTGCCATCCACACTTGACTAACACACCAAAACAGTCTAGAGTAATAAACATCACTTCCGGTAAGAGGGACAATCTGTATTTTTGGTTTTAGGGTGAACTGTCCCTTTAAAGTTGGGAAAATAAATAATTTTGAATGCAGTTAAATCCTGTTTTTTATGGCTGAACTTTTCCAACTTTAACCATCACAGATCTCCCTTTTAAACCAACAGGAGAAAAATGAGACTGAAGCTGACAGACATGAAATCAAAGTGCATCAACATCTAATCACAACCTGAAAGTTGTTTGTAAAACAAAACAAAACAAAACAAAACAAAAAAAAAAACATACAAAAACTTAAGTGGTCTTCATGTTTCAAGCAGTTGTTACATTAATTCATATTGAGGTGAGTGAGGAAGCAGTCCCATTTGTTGTGTTGTGAACTTCTCCTCGTAATCATCTCCGTTGAGACTAAACTCATTAGTGTTGTGTATTCCAGTGTGTCCCAACGACTTCAAAATAAAAGCACACGTTTCTTTTTAAAGGATCTTCTGGCTCTGAGTGTCATCGCTGACAACCCTGCGACTCTTTCACAGGGTAACAGAAATAAAAACATACAAATGGCTCTGAAGAAACATCTTTTGACACAGTAGCCAGAAAAATCCACACATACATTCAACACACAAACATGCAGACGATCATTCCAGCATCCAGTTGTACCAGAACTGCAATCTGTCACTCTTCATGCAATTTTTTTTGTTATTTGGAGCAGGGTCCTTTGCTGTTGGTAGCTCTTGTTTTGGTTGTGTTTTTCCTTTCCGACGAGTCACCGTGTCGGCCACTAACGAAAAATCATCAGAGCAGAGTTAACCATTGATTTTTACATGGCAGTGTTTGGTAGCATCAGGTTGACCTGGAACAGTGTGAATACGACGTCTTTGTGCGTGTGCATGCGTGTCTACAAGAGGCAAGGTGTGAGCGTGTCAAGTGGCTGGTTTTCGTGTCGCTGAAGCAGAGTTTTTGTTTTGAAATCCAGAAAGTCAAGTGTCACTCAGGCTACTTCGTGCGCCGTAAGGGGTAACAGTACATTCGTTATGTCTCTGTGTTAAATAATAGGGATCTACGTTCTGTTTTTACACCATTCAAAGCACAGTGCTCAGCCCTGTTTCTCAGGGTAGCGTGTGTTTCCTCCATAGTGGCTCAGTGTGGGAGCAGGGAAATGTTAGTACAGTGGTGTATTTTCTGTGATAGTGGGACAACATGTTTCCAGCATGTTTTTCCTCTTTTTTCTTCCTTAATCCAGGTATCACACAGTTTGTCTTCATGAATGAGAGGTGTGAGGTTTCTGTGTTGAAGAACAACAAAAGAGAAATGGGAGGCGTGAGGAAAAGAGTGGGCATGATAGCTGGAGGTGGAGGTGTACGTGTGAGGGCAGCGGCAAGCTCCCCCCTTCCTCTCTTGCTATAGCAGCTCTTCTCTTTGCTTTTTGCCCCTCACCGGCCCCTGTCCGTTCCTCAGGGAGCCGTTCTGGGGCCGCAGGAGATGCCCGCGCTCCTGCTCCGTCCACGGGACCCCGCCCTGCCCATCATCACTGTCCAAGTCAGAGTCCGAGTGCATGAGGGCAGAGGAGGTGGGAGCGGGCACCGGCTTCAAGCGTGCTGATGGGAGGCAGGTGGTAGAAGAGAAGGAGGACAGAAACAAACGGTAGGATGTCAAAATGATGCCGTGTCAAACTAAGCAGAATATTGTATTTAATCTTTTATTTACACAGATATGTAAAAGGCCTCACTGCCTCTCGTACTTGCAGAACACACAGATATTGTGGTGGTTTCGCATGGCTTGACAGTCTTTATGCATCTCTATGTGGTTTTGATTTTCTTTGAGGTCACTTTGTTTCTTATATGGTTGTTTTATGTCTCTCTGAGGTCATTCTGTGTCTGTCTCTGGCAATTCTGCATCTTACTGAGGTGATTTTGTGTCTGTTTTGTTTGTTTTGTGTCTCTATGTAGTCATTATGTATCTTCGTGTGGTTGTTTTGTCTAATTTTTAGTCACTTTTTGTCCATTTGAGGTCATTTTGTGTCTTACTGGATAAAATTGTTTCCTTATGGTAATTTTGTGTCTTTTTTTTGGTCTATTCGTGTCTCTTTGTTATTATGTATCTCCTTTTGATTGTTTTATGTCTTTTTTTGGTCATTTTGTCACTTCCCTCTTGTTGTTTTGTGTCTCCTTGCAGTTGTTCTGTGTGTCTTCATGGTCAGTACTGGTTAATTTGAGTGACATTTTGCAGGTGGAGAGGCCTGTGCCTGTGCCTGGTAGAGCTGTTCAGTTATCCATCCATGAGAATAAACAGTAAACTGTGTGTAACTTACTGATGTCTATGATTTATTTGAATTTCAATATAATTTTTGAGATTTAACCTTTACACATGCTGCAGTGCCCAGTACATGGTACAGTGAACTTTAGTGTGTGGTGGTGGCAGTGGTTAATATGTGTGTGTGTCTTACCAGCTCTTGGTGGTTGTAGCTCCAGGCTGTCTTGCTCATCAGCTTCTAGCATTTTATACCTGCTTTTGCTTCTGCGCACTTTGCTCTTACGCCTTTCAGGAAAAGACACAACACATCAAATATCATCAGATGGTGTAGAGGTAGTTAAAGAAGTGGGTAAAATGCAATCCAGAAAGTTTAAATAATTCATATACACTGCATATGTGTCCAAAGACATTTAGTAATAATCATAACAATATTTTATATTTTAGAAATTGTGCTCACCTGTTGCAGCAACACACCATCCCCCAGACAACCGTTGCTATGGCAACCACAATCATGAAGGATGCTATTGTCACATATAATACGCTCCACTCTGAAAAAAATATTTAGTGAGACAAAAGCACATTATATTATTACAATGTAATGAAATACATATCAAAGTAAAGCACTAACTAAAACAGTGGTTCTCAAACTTTTACACTGCGTACCATCTCAGAAAGTATCAGGCTTTCCAGGTACCACCACTATGACCAGTAGCGTACCAGTAGTGCACGAACCACAGTTATAGGACTAAAATATTAAGTTAAGATTCATCTTAACTCACCACAGTTGCTCTCTGCATCTCCAAGCTGAGCTCTGATGAAGTTCTCCATCCAGAAAGGGTGACAGACACAACGCCGAGTGAACGAGTCACACTCACCGTGACTCGAGCAGTTCAGCTGGCAGACTGAGGAAGGAGAGCAGCAGAGTGCACAAAGATTAAACTACAGCTGTAATATCCACGAGAGAACTACCTAACTACAAAGAATATGCATATCATAGAACATAAACCTAAAATAGTTGCACTGAAGACGATAACATACAAGTTTTACCACAGAGGCAAGAAGGATAACTAAAAAATCTTACTGATTTGACCTTTGAGTCCCATCAGTCTCTGTTATTAGCTGACAAATATTTGAGAAAGTAGAACACAAGGGTAAAAAGCATGTGGCAAAGTGTACAAAAAAAACTTGGAAAATATAAATATTATACAATTCTGCAAAGCCTGTGTTACACTGTTTGTAAACTAATTTATATAGTATAATCCAATCTTAAATTCATGTCCAGCATAGCACTGTTTGATTTTGCTTACAATGTAGGGCTGCTTGATTATGGCCAAAATGATATTCAAGATTATTTTGATTAATATTGAGATCATGATTATTTATTATGATTATTCACAGATTTTAGGGACAAAAAAAATATTGCACTTTCATCTTTAAACTTCCATACAATAGATCATGATCTGTTTTAAGGAACTAGCTCTTCGACCACTGCTCCAGACATTTGATTTTTGTTTTACCCACCTGCAGCTGCAACTGCAATATTCAGTGCAAGGTACGCACAGCAGCATGACAGCTCCCCAAAAGTGGAGGCTGGCTGCTAGTTTAGTTTTGCTTTATATGATATGCAGCAGAGTTTACTATGAGATGCGCACACATTTTAAACATCAATAACGCAGATGATTATACTCATCAATTTACAGGAAGCCAAAATCCTGATTAAGATTACTATTAAATGAATAGTGCAGCCCCATTACAGAGTATGTTCTCCTCACTCTTCTTCCTTTGTTGTGTGTGTATACTGTAATACTATAACTATATATGTCAAGTACTCACTGACTGTATCCACTCGTCGGGCCTTGTAGATGAGAAAGTCATTCTTCTGTTTGCGCAGTTTGTTGCGGAGGCCAAGCGCAACGTTGCGTCCTGACAGAGGAGGGCGCCCTGGACCGCCTGACACCAGGAAGACCAAACGAGTGCTGAAATGGAAAGAAAAAGGGAAAAATGCTTAGTTACATACAAATGTCCATCAAACAAGCTGAATCAAGACAATCTCATTCAAGCCTTTTTCATGGTTACGGTTATGTGTTTCATTACTGGCTTTATAAAGTTGGGCTGATAATAAGAGATAGTCAAAAAGGTGCAGAACGACTCACCTGTGCTCATTGAACGCACTGATCTCTCGCACAATGATGTCACTGTCAAGCACGCCCAGTAGAACCCCAACCTGGCGCAGCAGCATGTCGCGCTGACGGTGGGAGACCTGGGATACAGAGACCTCCAGCACCAGCTCCACCAGGTCACGCTCCCATATGTCTGATAAACAGAGAGGAGAAAACAAATGTGAGAAAGGAGATTAAAGCACAGAGGAGACATTGACAGGAGTGGAGGGGCAGAGAGGAGTGTAGTGGGAAAGAAAAAGCAACAAGGAGAAAAACATGAGACTGATTGCAGGACCCATCTGACACAAATCTGGGAAGGAGGCCAGAGCACCAAATGACGGATTAGTTTCTGGCTGCGTTTGTGTCTGTGCACCGTATGCTGCACACTGACCTGCACAACCTTCTGCTGTTGGTTGTCGAGTCTCTTGCTGCGTGGAAAACATTTGCATACATGGACTTGTTTGAAGGCAAACATAAACTCCAATACATTCTAAAAAGGTACTACATGATAAAATGCTTTTTGATGTACCCACTTTGGCTAAAGGGTTAGAAATATTCAGTGTGTTGCAGTGGATAGAGGAAACACAATGATAAAGATAAAGTAATGAAACAGCTGCTTTCTCAGTCTGTTCACTCCACCTGGTTTGACCTCCACAGTGCCCCTATCCGTGCTGGTCTGTCCCTTACTGTCAGTTACAGTCAGGGTGAAGCTGTACTTCCCCTCAACCAGGTTTCCCAGAAACAGCACTGCCTGGTGGTCGGAGTTATTCAGTACATCCTATTAAAACAAAAACAAAGGAGTGTTAAAACATTTACATTTTTTGTTAATTTTCTAATACTGTGAATGTCTGATGTTGGTTACAAGCTGCTGTTATTTAACTGTTTAAAGATGTTATGGTGGAGTTTTCTTTAGTTTTATATTCAGTCCGCTGTAAACTGTCATAAAAAACAGTAGTAGTATTGAATCAAAGGCCAGTCTCACCCCAGCAGCAGGGCTGCTATCATCTCTGGTCCACAGATAGCTGACTCCACCTTTGTCATCAGTGGAGTGAGATCCATCTAGAGTGCCAGTCCTGGCAGGCAGACTGATGGGTGGGCTCGACACAACGCGAGCCACTGGAGGCTGGTCCAGCTCTGGTGGTAAAACAAAGACACTGAATTCAGGCACTTCAGGAAAATACTCAAGTGTACTGAGGCTGCTTAAGGTATGGTAAAAAAAACAGTATCCACCATACATAAGAAAATGTCCCAGATGTTTTGTAAATCACAGGACCACCTGTTATAGCTATAGACTGTACAAACTGAGGATTGCTAGGAGGATTATCTTTCAACATCATAACAAGGATTTTCAAGTGCCTGCTAAACAGCTGACAAATCATCCTGTGAAGGGTTTATTTTTACCTGAGAGTTCTTTTTGCAGTAATGTAAAGAGACATATCTTTGCCTCATTTATATTTTTGTAGTTGAGCATTCAGTTTCTCTTGTTGGAACACTCACTTGTTGTCTTTTTAGGACTAAGAGGCTATCCATGTTTCATTCCTGTTTTTGTAGGAGTGACCCCAAAGCCAACAGGCTTGCCATGGTCAACAAGAGGCACATTCAGTTCTGTCTGAATACATAGTATATGTTGTTTTATAAAACAGATAGTTCTGGTTATTGATTATGATGGGATGAGCTACATTCAGAGCTGCGGTAAAATACTATAAAAACATACAGCTGTGACCCCTTTACAACTTCAGTATTAATGCGCCAATTAGTCACCTATTGTCATATGGGAGGCAGAGCTAAAGAGGGCAACTGCCAGCCGAAGCCTGAATCGTTGACCATTCACCAGGATGAGAACAGTCAAAATATGCAACGGTGTTGTTCAATAACTGCACAAAAATTGCAAAGATGCCATTACAGAAACAAAAAGAGCTGACAGGGGTTCATGTTTGAGCAGCACGAGGGGGGACCCACTGTGTCCTGTCTCTCTATTGGATATACATCTGTGGTTGCTGCCAACCAATCCACCAGCCTTTTATCTCCATCCAAACCGGACAAACTACACCAATAATCTATGTTAATGCCGGAATTTTAGCTGGCTTGCATATCTATGCTCATTTTTTCTAGCCATGTTGTGAATTGCTAACAATAGCATTTTCTTACAATGTAGTGTGGTTACTCAGCAAGTAACTGGGCTACACTTTAACAAAAATATTGCTGGCAACTTAAGTGACAACAGTTCGGGGAAAGTGAGCAGTGAACAGTTGCTGATGGTAGATATACATGTGGTTGTAATGTGACTGCAGCATGATGAGAACTATGTTTTTTCTCCTGACGTCACGTGAAGGTGCTCCAAGTTGCCACTCCACTCCTTGTCTTGACTAACAATGCCCCTTAGCTGTTCTAAAATCACTGGAGACCACAGTCTCTCGCAGCTTATTGCTTAAAATTCCACTACATGTAATTATTATAAGGAAGCAAAGGTTGCAACTATAACATAAAATTTACTTAAGATATCAAAACATCATGAAAAGTGTAAATGCTTCCTTAATTCACAAATACATTCAGTCTGCATACAGTCTGACTCCAACTCCAGCCATCTTCTCACACACACAGGCACACAGGCGTGCGCGCACACACACACACACACACACACACACACACACACACACACACACTTCTAACCTTCTCTGACGATAACTGTGACAGCGTCGCTACTTTGCAGCTTCCTCTCATCAGTTACAGTCAGGGTGAACTCGTACGTGCCGACCTCCAGACCTGTCACCGTGGCAACAGCACTGTCTGCATTTTCAATCTCCACACCATCAGGACCCCTGATGAAGGGACAGACGGACAGAAACAGAAAGTGAGAGGGAGTGTGAAAGAGCATTTACAGTTGAGGGAAGTACAAAATCATTTTTCTTGTATATTTGAATTGAACTGTATCATACTGTGTTTGCAATGAAGCTTTTATTTCACTGTGCTTAAGTTATTGCATCAACTAGGAGCCTGCAGCCAGACGTGTGGATATGTCTGTGTCTGACTCACTTGGTTTGTTTCCAGTGGTAGGTGGCTATCTTCTGGTCATCGCTGCTCTTACTACCATCCAGTGTGGTGCGATCGACAGGCAGCGTCAGCTCTTTCTCCGGTCCTGCGTCTGCTACTGGCGGCTTGTTGTTTTCTGGATGAACAGCGAGATGAAATTAAAAATACACCTCCATTGTGAAACCCACATGAAAGATACAATATCAAGTGGGTTGATGGCTGTCAAAAGCAGCTGGTTATCCTCGGAGCTGAAATAAAAACCACAAGAAGCATTTCCTCCACAATCAATGCAAACTAACAAAGAACATCAACCTTCAAATGGAATCAATGGTGCAGCATGAAAGCCTGTTCAAATATGAGATTCTGCATTTAAATTAGGTCAACATGCATAATTTATCCAGCTTTTATCAAAATGAGATCAGTGTCTGATGGTTTGATGAATGGACCAATATTTCAATCAGAGGTGAGAAAGAAAAAAATAAAAATTTAGTTAGATTAGTTAAATAATGCAAACTTTAAAAAATGAATTTAATAGTACTTGCTTTCCAGAAAAAAACACCCCACTTTGATATGAAAAGGACAACCTGATACAGTACACAAGGGTCATATTGTATGATCAGAGAACAGCAGTCCTGCTCTGAAAAATACTTTTATTACAAACTAAGGACACACAGTTTCAGACATTATTACTGAAATGGTGGACACAGTCTGACCTTGGAGGTGGACGTGTGTTCACATGACAAATCCTGTTCAAAGTGTGTCTGGCAAGTGTTTGTTTGCAGTCTAAAGTTGACACCAGGTGCTTATCAGGTTGGACGTACACATGCACCTACTTACACACATCCCATTCACTTAAAACTGCTGTTATCTAAAGGTTAAGCAAATTTGATTTCCCAACAGCAGTTTGAGGACTGACATTAGCTTCACACATTATATAGGCGCAATATAAATACAGCTAAATTATGTACTGTGGCTCAGTGTGCTTTTCACACTTCATGTGTATATTTGTATTGAACCTGTGGAAGAGAGTGAGGGCAAACAGGAGCTAACACAGGTCATAATGAGCACAGAGGAGGACTTTAAGTGTTGAGATAAGGGGTTTAATTCTTGTCACTCTCTAAGTGGTGGACAAGTGCACACAGCTGAATAAATAGGCTTCAAAACGGAGTTGGCGACTTCACTGAAGACACAACTCAGAAGTGCTGAGGTGTCATAAACAGGAACTCTTTTGCTCTCCAGTTGTTTACCTGGCCGCACAATGACAGTGACCTGGGCGGTGTCCTGCTGTCCGGCTGAGTCCGTCACGGTCAGCTGGAAGGTGTAGTCTCCCTCCTGCATGGCTGACAGCTGCAAGATCGGCGTCCGTACGCCCTTAAGAGCACAAAAAGATGTCGTGACTTTCTTATCCAAGGAAAAATAAAGTGAAACATGAGGATTATGTTATGTGCATAGTCCTTGAGTATCTCACCTGCATTTCCACCACCTTGTCTTTACTTGCGGGGCTGAGGGACCACTCATAGGACAGGTCGTCATGGTCGTCTGTGCTTAGGCTCCCGTTCAGAGTGATGGAGTTGTGTGGCAACTGGATGACCTGGATGAAGAAAGACCAGCTATTGGTTACCAGGAGTGCACATGTTTGGAAAATGAAATTGCATTTTGACATTTTTCAAGTTTAAGTAAACTACTACACGATCATACGATTACAAAAACAGTGGTTTGATGCATTAAAAACAGAACCAGGTGGAATGAAAAAAAAACAAAAACGTGAGGAACTGTAAAAGGACTCCACCTAACATTGCAATTAACAACAGCTGTATATGTTTGCTACCACTTTAGAAACAGACATAAATATTTCTAAAATGTCTCAGAGGATCCAAGACAACAGAAAATACTTCAGACCTGGTTAGGGCCAGCATTAGCCACAGGCCGGTAATCCTTGGCTTTGTTGACTAAGAGTGTGGCCTGTGTCGAGTTTGTGGCTCCGTCTGAGTCTGTCACTGTTAAACTGAGAAAGGATGTTAGGTTAAATACACAAACTGTATGGAAAACACAACTGTTAACATAGGTCATCCATTTCTACAGGCTGAGTGGGCTCCACCTGTACCTGAATGTGTAGTTCCCAGGCACCAGGCTGGTGAGGGTGAGGACAGGGGTGTCGGCAGAGACCTTCTCCTCCCTCAGGGGACCTTTCACCTCTTCCCAGTGCCACGCCACCACCTTGTCATCATCTGTGCTCTCTGTAGGGAGGAGAAAGGCCACAGAGGAAGAGGGGCACAGGGGATATAGGCAGTTAAAAACATTTAATAGGATGGAAGAAAATGATAACATATTTTAGGTGCAAGGCCCCGTCTCTTAAGCTGGAGCTAAATATGTTTGTGTATTTGTGTGCGTAGCGTGGGACACTCACGGCTGCCGTCTATGACCGTGGAACTGGTTGGCAAGGAGATCTCCTGGAACTTGGGGGAAACTACGGCAACAGGAGGCTTGTTTACCCGCGGTTCTGTCAGGTGGAAAACAAGAAATTAACTAGCGTACTGGAAGTGTGTGACTGAGGCGGTGTGAACAAAGTCAGTGGCTACGTTGGTAAAAGTCACAAATATAACTGTGTGTGGGAGGAAAGCAGCCTCGTCTTCCAGCAGTAACATCCAAGTTTATTTAGCCAGCATGAGGCAGAACTGTGCACTGATTCCTGATTATTTAATATCACGTTCACTCGCAGTTCAGGAAAACAATACCATCAAATATTACTCACAAAAAACCTTGATTATTTTTGATCCTGTAGGTTTTACTGTTACTACAAAATATACCATTAAGTGTCTTTCAATCAGTGTTACAGTGATTTGAGATTGGGTTTCATTTTGCATATGCTTTCCCATGTTTGCCATTTCACTGTGATTTTGTAGGCTCACAAATCACAAATTTCCCTCTACTCTACAATCTGCACAGCATATGACACCTATTGTCCTTTGACCCTCTATTCAGACAAGCAAAAACTTCCCAAAAAAATCTTTAAATGAGGGAAAAATGTAAGAAATCTCAAGAAGGAGGAGAGAGACGTGCAATCAATGCCATGTATACAGAATAGACCAACACAGCAAAATTACTGTACAGGTTTCGGGATAATAAAGTAAGGGGTAGATTGTACATATAGATATATAACTAGTATGGATCCAGGAGGATGTCCAGCAACTTCAAGGTATCCCCAAACAGAAAGGACCTGAGCCACACGACCTCCTTTCACCACAATATTGCAATGTGTTGTCTGTACCAACCAGGGCTTGGCGACACAGATAAAATCAGGTATTACAATATTTTTGACCAAATAACCCAATATCAATATGCTGCAATATTTTAGAAGTGACTATTGGTGCGTCCAGCAAATATGATTTTGATAAATAATCACCAGTAATGTGGATATTATCACTAAGTGAGGAAAGGCAAATAATTGGACAGCTAGAACAGACTCACATGATCCGAAAAATGACATCACTTTACTGTAATGTAGCCTTTAAAAGCAGGTAAAGGCAACACTTACAATATTCAAAATCTAAAATGATATATAGTCACATATCATGATATTGATAGGATATCAATATACTGCCTCGCCCTGGTAGCAGCATCAGCCTTGAGAACTGACTCAAATTCTGAGATGTTGAAAGAGGAAAAGTTTTACAGTTTAAACCTAACAACATATTCCAAACAGGAAAACTTAAAAAAAAACAATAGAGGAAAAAGAGACATAAGTATGTCCTCAATAACACAGACTGTGAGATTTTTACCAGTATATGTGCTTGACACTTAAAAATACAGCCTCAAAAATATCCACTGAGCTAAATATAGTACTCAGAAATCAAGAATTGAACATTGAGAAAGCACATGCAGTGTGTTTGGGCTATTTAATGTCCGCAGCAACCTGGGCTTGTTTTGCCAACAACGTCTATGTTCACCACAATATGAATGGGATTTTATATTTTCGTCCTCACCTGGTTTGACTGTGACATTGACATAACCTTCTCCATGGGCCCCCTCCCCGTCCACTGTCACCTCAAACTCATACAGACCCACAGTCAGCTGAGAGAGAGAGAGAGAGAGAGAGAGAGAGAGAGAGAGAGAGAGAGAGAGAGAGAGAGAGAGAGAGAGAGAGAGCAAGTCAGGCAAGCTGAAAGAGGAAGTGAAATACTTGAGACGATCTGCGTTCTCCACAGTTTACTGTAATCTTCTGTTTATACATTCAATAAAGCTCCAGCTGCACGTTTTATTTTTAGCAGAACATGAATATGAACGCTGTGATCCGTACCTTGCTGAGTTTCAGCGACTTGCTGTGCTTCCCTTCCATCTCCCCACTGTAATCTTTGGGATGAGTTATCAGACGCCAGTCAAATGCATAGCTTGTCCCTGTGAAGAAGCAGCAACATTAAATAAAACTGCTCATGCATTTAATTAAAATCTATCAGATGAGGATCATTTCCAGATGAGAGATTTTGGGATGGTTCGAGCATGCTGGGGAGGGATCAAGGGATTAACAAAATGATGACGTGCGTCTCTCTTCGTAACTGTATAATCTTTTTCCAGTCAGGATTTGAAATTCTCTGGCAACTGCTCAGTGTGACATACAGTACGCTGATGGTGACTCAGGAGTGCGACCATCAAGCAGGTCGTGCTTCATAACTCATCATGCTATAAATATCACATTACACTTGCTACATTACAGTCAGTCTGAAATTAGAATACATTAAAGTCACATTAATGTTCCAGATATTCGAGGACTGGAAAGCTTTGACAACTCACTATCATCCCTACACTGGGAAAGAGAAATAAAATTCTGCTACATATTAACGACGACTGCTGCAATTACATGATTAAATCAAAAGTGTGTAACAGGTTTCCAGGTAGTGTCCAGGTAACCAACTGCGATAGTTTTTCTAGTTCCATGGTTTTACCTGGCGGGGGTGGTGGGACGACAAAGGCGTTGAGCTCAATGTCGTTGCGGGGCAGTGTGACCTCCACACTCTCTCCTGCTGACACCACCAGCTCCCTCACTGTCGCAGAAAACAACACAGGATCAGAAATGATGCCAAAAACACAACATAGCCCCCAAAAGACAAGAACAAGTCAGACAGTGGAGTATTCAACAAGAGAGGAATTAATAACACACCCTGGGGTCAATGGGCACGTAAAGTTTTTTAGTAACAAATAAAATGCTAAAAAATGTTCTTCAATATAATCTTTTGGGAAGATAAATAAAAAAATATTTAAATATCATATTCTACCTTGTTAGACATGCAAAATCACAGAAAACTGAGTGTGTTAAGACCAACCGTGACGCTCAAGGTGAACTCCAGTGACTCACAGTTGAAATCCAATTAATTTTGGGGAATCATGAGGGATAAATGTTAAAAAACAAACTGACAAAAAAGGCTAGATATGTGATCTGAATGTTCAGAGAAACTAAATTGATTCAGCAGTCTCTTCTTTCCCCTCTTCCACAGCCTCTTGCCTATTGTTTTGTATTATTTGTGCTGTTACTGTGGGTTTATATTTGCACAGGTATTCTCTGCTAATTGAGTTTTTTGTTGACATGTTTGTGAGTGGATAAACCTGTCTATGCACGTCTGTACATTAGGTTTATTATTATTTATTGGTTCTTGATTGGGGTGGTGGCTGAAGAGAGAATGTTTTGGAGATTTGAATGGGGGGTGAAAGGGATGGTTTGGGGATGAGACAGGAGAAATTATGTACAATTGTATTTACAGCAAGATGTAATACAGTCCTTTAGCACATCCTTGGTTGAAGTGAATCTATCACACAATATGCATCCACAAAACAAAACAAAAAAGATGTAGCAGAGGCCAAAATATCCTGAATTTCAGTCTCTAGTCTGGGTCGAGCTCCAAAAGAACCCTATAGTTCACATAATGCAACTCAAGCCCAAACTGATATACAATTAAAAACTAACCATTATGACATCATCAGTGTTATTTTCTCAGACTTGACAAAACTGTGCATGGGTCCAGAGTTGGAATCAGCCCACTCCAGTCGATTCATCTGGCATTGTGACATGAAGACATTGGTTTCTCGTTTGAAATTCAAAAACGATCCAATGAGCAGTGCATGTGGTACTGACGCTGTTGTCAAGCGGTGTAGCCAGAACCAATGGGGAGTAAGAACAACAATGGTGAGTGCTACAGACAAGCTGTTGTCAAGGCTCTATGTCCTAAATCAGTGGTTCCCAACTGGTCCACCCACGGGATCCAGATTTCTCCTTAGTCATTAGTTTAAGGTCCACACAGTTAAATACAGTCAGTGTCATGCTTGTGTTTGGCCATGTCATCGAGCGAGTTTATTGTTTCTCTCACGGAGCTGTCCATTAGTCACTCACTCCACAGCAGAAAACAGCACTTTCAAAATGAAAGCTCTTTGCTAGAAATGCACTGTACGTAAAAATAAAGTGTGTTTTTTACAAACTTGACACATTTGCGAGTCATCTGTGGTTCCTTCAGAATGGACCTGCGACCCACTTTTGGACCACGACCCACCAGTTGGGAACTAAATCAAGATGTCTTCACAATATCACCCGACATCGTAGTCTGTTTTTTCACTGCTCCACTCGACTCTTAAAACCTGGCAAATTGGGTATGTTGGCATGGCTACGCTTAGTGTGGACTTAGAATGACTTTAGATTACGTTGGTCTCTAGTGACTGGTTAGGAAAAAAAGAAATTCCCCTTCCCCACAAAAATTGGTTTGAGTGGATGCAATATCAGACTGAAGACAGAAATGGAGTTTAACTAGTTAACAATTCTGTCTGATGTCAGGCAAGACGAAACTCCCTTCAGAGCTGCAGCAGATATTATGCAATTTTTCTCACAGACCAAATCCTCCTCCACATGACTAGTAAACTGATCATTATGTGTAAATTGGTTTGTGTTGCGATCAAGCTATGAATGGGAGATGTTCCGTTTCGGAATAACGAGTTCCTGTTGTGTATGACAGTCCTCGTAAAACGCAGCTGACCTTTGAAACAACTCCTATGCTTTCATTTAGACCAGCTCAACTGGTTACTGTTTGCTCTAGTTACAGTATTCTTTGTTAAAATACCTTAAAATATGTCATGTGTGATGCTATTCTGTTGTGATTTATTAATGAATGCAAGTTAAATGGCAGTATTGTCCTTCAGGGTGGAGACACGGATTACACGAGTTATTCCTGTTTGTAGAAGCCCAGCATGTCTCAGCACATTCCTGTTGCTTGCACTCATTTGGCCTTATACCCAGAGCACATGTTGCTTTCATCTGAGGGAAATAACATCTGAGCAGTCTGCCATAAAATTTATGGGCAAAGTACACCTTCATTTTGTCAAACATCGGCTGAAATAAAAACAAAGACAACGCGATAAAGGATCTTTTGCAAATTTTTGAGCGTGTGCGTCAGAATAATGCAAGCTTTAAAGGGACAAAGAAAAGATAGGATGTCGTGTGAAATCTTCCTCTGAGGCTGCAAAACCACAGTACAGCTGCATTATTCATGAGTTCATAATTAATAAATGAGGACAAGACGTATTACTGAACGAGCTGAAAATAGGCGATCGCCGACGCCGACTGCTGCAGACAGTCGCCTCCTTACCAGCCTGTGTTGGAATTGTGATGATAGCAGCTGCAGTTGTGGCTGTGGGTGTGCTGACATCACTGCCACTGGAAGACGCAGGAGTATCAACAGTGCTGTCCGCCGTTGAGTTCTGCTGTGATGGAGCTGAAGCAATGTCTGCACTCCCGTTGGCTACCTGACTAAGGTTCTTTTGGGCTGTCTGGAGAAGTGTACTAGTGCTGGGTACTGCTGGAGTTAGGTGAGCAGTTTCCAGTTTGGGACTGTCCTGTAGAAACAGTTAAAGATTGTAGGTGTGAATGATGTGACGAGCTCAGAGTAGCAAAGAGCAGATTTGAGGCACAATTTGGGGAACCTTTAAGGAGCCACATTATTCATTTTTCCAGGTTCATTTGTTTGTAGAATCTACCAATACACTCCCATCTGACTATAGTGAATGAGGGTAAGAAGTATCTAAAGGGACAGTTCACCCCATAACTCTTAGTACTATTTATCTATCTAGATTGTTTTGGTGTGAGTTGCTGAGTGTTGGAGATATCGTCCATAAAGATGTCTGTCTTCTCTCCAATATAATGGAACTAGATGACACTCAGCAGTCATCTATGAGCAAACTTATTTCAGTTCTGGTAAATAAGGCAAAGATAATTCACAGCATCTGAGCAAACAATGCAAAAATTGACATACAAGTTCAAAAGATAACTAATATTGTGTGAAGTTACCGTGCGGGTAAGGGGTTCTGTGTCCAGCGTGTGGCTTCCTGTATGCTGTGCGTGACGAAGTCTTCGACGTTTTGCTGTGATGACAGGACCCTTAAAAGTAAAAGTTACAGACAAGAAAAATATTTTATAAATTACTATATTTGCACGCACACTTCAACTCAGGGTGTCTCTGCTTACATCAAAACATCAAATCCCAACACAATGCCAGTCTCTTTTCACCAAGACAGGTAAAAGATGTTTAACTTCCTTTTTCCCTATTGGCACTGCCCTTGTCTGTGACATTACCATCTTGAAAAGGCATACTGGTTGAGCAGGAAAACTAAATCACTAGAAATGTGATTTCAGCTGCACTCCATACCTTTGAGAGCAGCTGAAGGAGGCCGAGGGACTCCTGGTAGGGCTGGGGCAGGGAGGTGATTGGGCAGCCCCTCTTCCGCGAGCAGCTGAGAAGCACACATTGCCCGCCGAGGCTCCACACGGCACTGCAGCTTGGGTTCAAACAGCAGGACTCCCAGCATGTCGCCCCACCTCTCCCATTTGCCAGAGAGTGCCACCCGAGGCTGACGATGTTGCTCCAGTGGATCCCCAGCACCCCGCCAGTCACCCGGCAGAGATTTGCAGACACACCTGGATGGAGACGGATTGACAGAAGGAAGAAGAAAACAATGACACACTGTACTGATGTTCAAAACTACAAGTCACTGTGAGACATCAACATGTTTTGCATCAGGTCATAGTTAAAAGGAAGTTGGTGATGACGGTTTCCCTGCTGAGAAATTCTCAAAAGAGTTTTGTGTAGTGTGTAGTTTGATCAAAAGGATCTGCCAAAGGCGACATCATGGATCTGCCACCGGGCAGCGCTTCCCAGGCTTTTCAAGATTGCACTTGTTTACATCAATCAGGGCATTGTTGGGTGCTCTTGGCATTGTCGAAGGGAAAGGGGTAAAGTGAAACCCACAGTGAGACTTTTCACAGATTAGGCCTCGAGTGAACATTTCTCAGAAAAGCCGACATGCAGCCGCAATTTGAGCAGTCAGCCAAGTCAGCAGCAGAGAGAGGAAGTGAGGCTTTTCCCTGACAAAACAAGACACTGATTAAAACCCAAAGCACAGTATGCAGTATGCTCGAAACTCCACCCTCTGAGCCAGACCATATCAGACTCATATCAGCAGTGAGCTGGTACAGTTAGCTGCCTCTGTGTGCATGTTACGCACACAGAGAGTGATATTCTCATTCAAGCTTTAGCAGTATCAAATGAGCTCAGTTCAATCCATCCATTGTCCAACACGGGAAAGTCAACGTGTAGTCAGGTACAATAAAAATCCACAGACTGCAAGAGTAACCACAGAGAGAAATGGGAGGTTATATTTCACCAGTACTTCAATGACTGTCCACACAGGCATAGAAGCCAAACCAGCCGTGAATAACAGTCCAGGTAAAAGGAAAACTGCTGAGTCACTCTGTGGATTAAGAAAACTGCTGTGATGAAAATAGAACTCAGCATTGTTTTATTTTTTATCTTGCAGCCCTGAACAGCGACACACGGAAGCAGATCATATCTATACCCACGCATACACAAACAAGTTAACGATCATATCCAGTTATAATCACTTGTGTCATTTCTTAGTAGAATAGTATTTGCTGCTACATTTGGAAAGATGTGGATCTAATAGACCCTTAAACAAATTTTTAAAAGAGTTAAAATCCTTAAGATTTCAGTCCTGATTGATCTGATGCCAACAGCAAACCCTATAACCAAGGAGCAACTGGGGATGCAGCCAAACTAATGTGTCCTTTTAATTCAAACGTCAGTCGATAATAGGCCTTTTTGTCCTCGTTCCTTGAGCAACTGTGACCTGAGGTCATGCTGCACGCAGCTCAAGTCATTTTCCCACACAACAGGAGGACACTGTAAAAGGAGCTGTTTACCTGGCTAAAAAGTTGGAGCCTACAACCCTTCATCTAACAGCTCACCATGGCTGCTCCTTTTATGTTTAAATGTTTAAAACTAATCTGCTGTCAGGAAACGCCCATGTCTTGATTTTTAGATGCATTTTGGATAGTAACTGCTGTCAGCTTTAACTTCAGAGACAAATCTATGTATTGTGTTTACTTCAACTGCTTCACAATCCAAACAACCTTGTGTTTACTCAGCTGAACTCTTTAGATGCAAAGTAGCGGCAGCAGTAAGAATTGTTGGGTTTGCATGAGTAATAACTTAATACATCTCTAACAGGACTGTAGGGGAGTGACCAGTAAGCAAATTTGTGTTTCCTAGGATAGCAAAGGCATGACCCGACCTGCTCTGACTTACTCGGCCTCTGACTGGCTTACTGTTTCATTCTTACCCATTAAAAGATTAATCCACTAGCTGTTGACCAGTAAATTGATCCCTAACTTATTTAATAACAATAAATCTGTTTAAGGAACTTCTTCTTCTTCTTCTTGAGGGTTGCGGGGGGGCTGGAGCCTATCCCAGCTGACATTGGGTGAGAGGCAGGGTACACCCTGGACAGGTCACCAGACTATCACAGGGCTTGCATGTCTTTGGACTGTGGGAGGAAGCCGGAGTACCTGGAGAGAACCCACACTGACACGAGGAGAACATGCAAGCTCCCTACAGAAGGGCTTCCTGGAATCGAACCAGGAACCCTCTTGCTGTGAGGCAACAGTACTAACCACCGTGCCGCCCCCATTACAACAGTATAATGAATATGGGAAACACTGATCAACATTTTTCACCATTTTCTGACATTTCATAGAACTAACAACTAATTGAGTTGTAGCAAGAAATGTTAACTAATCGAGTTAACTAATCAGTTCTGATCAGATGGACTGATCCAGTAATCTATACTGCAGCTAAAACTCCAAAAACTGCTGCTAAAGAAAAAAAAAATCATGAAAAGTTCCCCTGCGCTGTGTTCATGAACCCGCAAAAAACCCCACCCCTTCACCCCATCGTAAGCTTCTGCCACACATAGATTGTTATCTTGTGGGAAACACCAGTGAGATAAATAAAAAAAAAAAACAGTAACACTGAATTACATTTTCCTGTGAATTCCTCATGAGTAAGTCAGAAATGAGAATCTTGCACAGGAATGACTTCACCACTAACAATGAAAACTGCTGTATACAGAGGTACTTGCAGGATGTAAATACACTGAATAGCCATTGCTGAAAAATGTCAGCCATAAATAGTTTAAAAAATGGGCTCAAATTTGTAAAAATCTTAGAATTATCACTTTCAATATTATCACTTTTGACACTGGTGTTCTGCAAACACAGGTAGCAGCAATATCACTAAATATTTTAAAGATAAGATTAAGCTGAGTGCAAGGTTAGTCATTTGAGAGCCTGTCATGCTGATGGCAAGGCCAACAACACTTGTGGCTGCTTAAAAGAAAAACTAAAAAACGCAGTTCATCGAATGTCTCAGACAATGCCATACCCGTAACTGTTGCTACCATGGCAACAAGAAGGCTAAGGTTGACTTTATGGGACGTCAGTGAAACTCAAGTCTGCAAAACACAGGTCTTGCCACACACAAAAGCACCATAGTTTGTTTGAGAAGGAACCATTTGGCCTCAGTTTAGTCATCCCACCCCTTGTTCACTCTTCTTGTGTCCCCCACCTCTCAACACACACACACACACACACACACACACACACACACACATTCAAAATGTCCACTCACAGAGCCCCTATTGTCCTGTTTCACACTGTAACCCACTGAGCAGAGTGGCATCAGAAAGACAGCACACATACACACAGTAGGGGAGCCAACAGTCCCCTGTCTCGCCGCCTCAGATTAGAAGGACAGTAAACACCAGCTAACGACTTAAAACCATGTAAGCATCATAATAACATTGCAAGGAGGATGCAGACCCACCCTGAGTAATCAGAGGTGTGTGAAACTATTGTGCAAATGAGTGCTGAGATGAGGCACAGATGTGAGTTTCCTTATCAGTTCTCTGTCAACAAATGCAGTTCTGCCAGTTTAGTTTAGGGTGACGATGGGTTTGTTTTACCTGTTGGAGAAGCTAAGAGCAAGAGGTAGGTCAGCAGGAGGAGGAGGAGGTGAGGTAAGCTCCAGGTGAGCAGCTTGTGGTGTGCATAGGACATTTTCCACAAGGACCAAGGACCTAGAAACAGGAAACAGAACTATTTGAGTGTGCTTTAATATTTCCCCTAGATTCATTCAACATAAAAGGGCCATCAAAGCAAAGTAATATAAAGGCATGGTTAGACACTTTTTTAGAGATATACCTATTGGCTTTTTTTTTTTTTTGCCGAGAGAAAGAGGAAAGGACTCTCGAGTCTGTGTGCTAAATATGTAGCTAAAGCCAGTTAGCATGACGTAGCACAAAAAGTGGAAACAAGAGTAAACAGAGTGCCTGTCCAAGTTCATAGGTAACAAAAATCAATCTCTGACCTAGAAACAGTCCAGCACATAACATCTGTAAAACTATGCTGTTTTTACGCTTCAGTTTTGTACGGTTTTAACAAACAAGATAACATGTTAATCAGAGAGCTTTAGTGGTGCTGGTAGGTGGATTTTGTTTCCTTGTTTCCTTCCTCATAAATAGAATTTTTGAGGGAAGTACTGATGAGATACGTAGATTTGAAGGTTTTGTTTCCCTGCATGACAGTCTGAGCTGCTTCACATACCTCTCATAGAAATTACAACTATCAGTCAAACTAACCACCTGCATCTATAGACGGTTTACTCAAACATTTACCCAAAAGTAATCGAGCAGTCTTTCCCAATAAAAACTGCAACCTACAAAACACAACATGTTTACCTTTCTCCCGGCCAGGCGGTGGAAGAAAGAGATGTGGGGAAGAGAGAGGGAGTGAGGAGTTAGGTTGGCAGCCAGGTGCTGTGAGGCGATGGGTGAAGACGGGTCGACACCAGCAGTCTGAGGAAGAGATCCAACATGGCCGTCACTGGGGCCTTCACGGGCTCCGCTGCTCAAATGCTATGCTAGAGAGTGAAAGAAAGAGAAAGAAAATTAGTTAAAAATGAACAAAATTAGTCATTGATGTCTTCATCTCGCATATGACAAGAGTTTCATCTGATGTAATATGTAGAAAGTTTTCAGAAAAACATTCATATTAACATTTGTACATTGATTTCAGCTATATTGCCCCCCTGATATGCATCATTCAGGTTTTTTCCTCCTTCTCTACCTTGATTACAGACAACAGTGCTTCAGCCCTTGAGGAAGCACTCAAAAGAATTTGAACACCTATAACACATCAACCTGATAACAAGTGTTTATGCAAATAAAATCCAACTGCTCTAACCGAAGTTACTCTGCAGAGAGAGCAAAGAATACAAATGTTACTTCAATCATTTTCAATTTTCCCTTTACAATGACATGAATGTAATATACTGGATCTGAACATTAGAAGATGGTAATGACAAACACCTTATCAAAAATAGCTCAGTTTTTATTGGTCTGTTGGAAACAAACAACACAACAAGCACTTGACATCTTCCCCTTACGTAAGAATTCGGGCTTCTGCCTTTGGCTGTAACTACAAAGAAATGCTCCCCGATTGAGTGTAGTTGAACAAACAAGTCTGTTTCATTATGCAACATTTCTGATAATATCCTGTTGACGGTAACTCTTAAGGCAGTAGAACATGACTCATAATCTTGTGAACGCCCTTTCTTTAAACTATTAGTTCAAGTGACATGAAAGTATAAAAAGGAAAATGAAAAAGATAAGTCAGAGGCAGGTGTCTAGTCCCTCTGTCGTAGCCAAAGACACAGGCAACAATCTTAATTATGCAATCTTTAAGTCACTGCTGTCTGCTCTTGTAGTGTATTACCCAGGGGGTATGTTCACAACAAAAGTGAAAATGACTGCTCAGCATGCGACACTTTGGAGGATTGCTACATGCAAATAATAACCCTTTCTACCTCTCTCCTATGTTGTTATCTCTCTCATGTTCAACCAACCACAGCAGTAACTAAACACACAGGAGTTTTATGACACAATAAAACCCTCACTGGTCCTCCAGGCCAAACTATTATTTGTGTTCCTCGGTGCACTTGTTTTACATCACTTAGGGTAAAAAAGTACTGGACCCAAGTCATATTCATGTGGGGTACACAGATTAAACATGAAACCTTTATGTAAAAGGGATGTGAGTGCCATCACTGATTCCGATACCTGAACTTGCAAATCAGCCAATACCATGTACCAATTCAATACCATTGCAAAAAAAAAACAAAACACTGCTATATCCTACTAACCCTGTACGGACCCTGCATTGTTGTATGGCATGGCCCTGGTTAAATCATTGGTAAAACATGAACGAGTACATGCAGAGAATTAATGCAATATAACTTTCTTTTATGCTGTGTAAGATATTGCCATATTGCTGACATTTTACTAATTGATTTCTACAAAAACTGCAGTTTTATCCAAGTGTGAAACTACTTTAAAGATTATTAACAAAATCCAAGATACTGGATTCATGCAAAGACTCATGTTATCGCCAGTACCCAATCCAGCATTTCAGGCAGTATCAGAGGCATTTCCTACACTGGTATCAGTATCAAAACAGCTCTACAAGTTACTTTGCCCAATTTATCAGCACTGTAGGAAATGTACCATATATTAAATGATGCCAAAGACACAGTCACAGGCCGACCAGAGCCCTGAGCTAACTTCCTAACACTTAATGTCCTTTCCTCCAGGAAGTGTGATGAGGAAGTTCTCCCATTTCAGAGTGATTAGTCATGGTAATAAATTCATGCTGGAGAATAATTACCTAGCTGGATGAATCACAAGAAAGGAGCAAGATGCAGATTCTTGTATTGCATTTGTGACAATGGTCAACAACATGTTCCTCCACTTAGGTATCTGTTGTCTTGAGGTATAAAAGTAAATTCTTTCAAGTAAAGTAACACTTGAGGAATGCAGACGTATGGCTTGATGAGAAATGCATGGAGTTTGCATATGGAAGAACCATGCTGCACTTTTTCCACTCCCAAATTCTCATGCAAGTTCTTACAGCAGTTTTGGATAAAAAAAGGGGGGGGGGGGGAGAACAGTACGAGTCCTGGGACACTGTGTTCAAAACGTGAGCAGGCCTCTTCCACCACCACGTTTCACCAGGAGACTACTATGGGGCTATATAGCCATGAATGAAACAGATTTCACAAGCATCTGCTGTGCAGACACTGTAGATGTCAGCAAGACGCTATGTATCCATATGCTTGGAAATAATGTTACTTTATCACCATTGGTCAGTATTTAAAGACATGCAGATGGTGAGTCTCTTTTCAGAGTTACTACTTTGTAGTAAAGATTTCAAGACAGCAGACAATTTCAGCAGAGAGTTAAGATCATTTCATGTGTAAACTGAAAACATGTACATCTGTAACAACCACATTTTTAAAACTGTAATGCTGCTATAATACATTCTGCAAAGATGCTGTTTCAAAAAAAAAAATCACAGCAGAGTAGTGATCACCAGGCACAGATGTTTAGCTCTCAAACACTCACACAACATGAACTGCTAACACAAACCTGTATGGTCTGTCTCCATACGTGGATCTGCATTCCTGCACATGGACGCCTGAGTCCTAACAGCCTTCTCGTGTGCTATAATCAACAGCTCAGTAAATCCCAAATCCACAAACAGTCATCTGTAACGTCATTAGTCCTCCTGAGCCTGTTTTTCCTCTTGCAGGTAAGCCACCAAAAAAAAAAAAAAAACAACCTCCAGGTAAAAATAATCCGGACAAAAAAATGTGAGGGATTCAGTCACGTTGTTCAATCTGTAACACAGTAGATTTGCTCTTTAACTGCGCACTAAATGCCCACAGGCTGGTGGTGACTTTGAGTGTGTGCAGCCCCAGTACTGCTCAGGTGCACTCGGTCACCTGGGCTGATGACAGCTTGGCCATTTCAATGGCTACTTTTCCCTTGAGAAGCGTCTGCAAAACAATGATCTCTGTGACCAAAAACCCCCTTATATTCAGAGAGGAAGAGCTTTCTCTCTCTCTCTCTCTCTCTCTGTCTCTTTGGCTGTTTCTTCCTCCTCGTCCAATCTCTCAGCCGCAGCAGTCAATAGCACGCTTGTCAGCTCTGTATTGGCTCCTAGGCAGACAGGTTGGTGGAGCTTTCTCTGTAATGACACCAAGTCCCACGCACAGTATCTTCTGGCTGCTACAGGGAAGGGAAATTAAGATGTTTTTATTTCTCTCGCAGGCAGAGTCCTTGAAAGAAATCAGCAAAATAATGACAACCCTCCAATTTTGCTGTGACAACAACAGACACATCCTTACAGCAACAACTATTCAAATTCTAGCGTCATATTTTCATAGATGCATAGTTTAGAAATATCGTAGGAGGTTAAAATGATATGACTACACAATGCGGCCACTTTACAACGGAGTAAAACCTAAGACTGCATATTAAATACATACTACTAGTCTCTAACTTCTATTTTTCTGATTGATTGTATTCATTTGTCTTGCAGGAAGTATTAACAATATGCACTGCTGGCAATAGACATCACAATCTTATGCTTTTTCCTACTTGTGTTTAACTTCTTGTTTCTTGGTTTTACCAAATTCTTATTCGTTATCACTGTCATTTATTGTCTCTAATGCTGGATGCCATACTTTCTAATTGATGGTTTTCATTCTGCTAACTGACGGATGGGTCTGTTTCCATTGTGCTGCAAGTCAAATTTTCCTAGGCAGAACAATAAAGACTTCACTGAACTGACAACAAATTGATTTATGGCTTACTATAAAACATAAAAAGCCATTCATTACTACCACAAATTTGCTTGTTAAAGCGTGGACAAGATAACAGAGTTTAATGTCTACCATTTTATCATTAAAAATATGAAAACTACATGCTTGCTTAAAGCTTTTGAAGGCTGTGGTGGCCTGTGTTGGGATCTCTAACCACCTTTACTTTATCAATCAATTGATAACACAAGATAACACACAAAAATAATCTTGTAAATAACTTAGTTAAGCTCCACTCTATAAGAATGATTGATTCTTACAGGGTGGGGATTAACTGACTGATTAAAGTGTAAATTAGTGCATGATGAACTGCACGGATGGAGGACTGTCAGTCAAATGTAATGCATGAGTAAACCCACTGCTGAGATAATATCTCTGAGACATTTCATCCAAAATGGTGGGCTTGTGCATTATGTATACCAGCTTGAAAACAGCAGTCAGGGTTTACACAAGATAAAAACTGTCTCTAGCTATCAGATAATTTAATAAAGGCCGATGGCTACAGCCTGCGTAGTCCACTGCACTGTAACAAAATTACAAACAAGAGACGGCTGAATCAATAACATGACACTTCGTATAGTAACTGCTCTCCGTGTCGTTTTAACAAGCAATACCGCCGTGCCAGCGCTGAGACATGAAGGTTGAGGTAGAGCACCATGAGGTATTCCACCTGTGTAATCCCGGATCACCGCTGTTTAAGGCACCTTGAGGCTAACAGCTGCTGGCATCTCTATTTCACTATACACCGTGCAGGAACACGGATTGCTCCTGAGCGTATTCAATGGCAATTGGCACGACACCACTAAAGACAGAAAAGTGTACAAGGACTTACATTTACAAGAAAAATGGCATTCACTCCGGTCGGTCGCTGCGTTGTGTTGTGTCGTCGTTGCTGTTGTTGTCCCCTGTGCAATTAATTAGGTCAGTATTCCTCTCGCATGTACAGCTGATGTGCCTGTGTAGCTACTGTCAAGCCAGTATAACTGATAAATGACGCTTCCGGTGCCTGGTTTTTCAAAATAAAATACTCACTAACACAGCCGCTGGAGCGTTTTGAGGGCGATACGGGTACAATGGTTTATATTGACGACTTTTATGGGAAGGAATATGTAGTAAATGAAAGTAGACTACAATTTATATCAAACAAACACCCACTCCAGAGCTAGTTTTGCCCGTGCTGCGTCCCAAATTAAACTGACGACGGTTGATATTAATCCCACAACTTCCGCCGTGCGCCACCTGCCGACCAGCTGTCAACGGCGAACAGGTTTAGCATAACATAAACAGTGAACCCGCTGAACTTTAGTCATTTTACGGTACATTTAATGATATAAACTTTAAACAAAGGTGAAGACGTCAACCGTGACCTTAAAAATAATGCGGGACTCTTCTCCGACGTTTACAACACGAACCAAAATGGCGTCTCCGCCTTCTAACTATCCCCCCTCTGATTGGTTCTGTGACATTATTGGACTGTTTTCATTGGTTCCTTGCAATTTTGTTTTGACATTTTACTTCCGGGAAGTGCACGAGGTGTTGCTGCGCGTGATACAGCTGTCAACAAAGTAAGTTATATTAACGTTTACAAATCCAAATATTAAAGGCAGAATTGTTGCTAACCGTTACTTTGAATAGCTGAACAAACCAACTGAAAAGCATTTAACTAGCTGTTCGTTCGTCGTTGCTCTCGACGGTGTGGAGCTAATTATTTGATTTCCAGTGTGATATTCGGTGTCTTTGACTTACTTTTTTTTATTCCTCTCTCGGTGGCACAGTTATAAAGGTCGTAATGGCTGACAGCGCCGACGTTACACCTGCCGTGAGCAGCCAGCCTCCTGGAAAAGAGGAGAAGGATGGAGGAGAAGGTGAAGGAGGCTCGGACAAGGATGCAGAAGGTGGTTTGACTGATGCCCAGAGGGAAGTGTTGGAGAAATGTATTCATACTCTCAGGCAGGCTCAGAATGACAGTCACACATTGGCTGCCCTTCTGTTGGTAAGTGTCTTTGTACGTGTTGATAAAGTAGGATACACAGAACACACTATTTTCACTGATCCTTAGCATTATTGCTAATAAGCTAACTGTCTGCCTGTGAAACTAATACACATGTAGTTACTGGCATCTAGAAAAATATTTGCTATGGTAGGAGAAGTTAAAGGCAGAAAAATGAATAAAAAGTCAGGTAACATTAAACTAAACTAAGCTGAAGAACAGGTAGAGAACATTTTAAGTCCCCTGTGTTGTTCTTTAGAGGTTCTCCTCTGGTTCTTTAGCTTTGTTTAGTTTAATTTACTGGGTAAAGAATAAAAACACTACAATAAAATACAGCAAAAAAAATGTTTTGCCCCCTTTGTGCACGGAAATATTCGTGGTTTGAAAAGGTTTATTGTGTTTCTCAGTAAGCATTTAGTACAAAATCTCATCCATGGTATTAACTGGCGTCTTTCAACGGCCCACAGGCCAGATTTCGTAGACTAAATGATTAATCATTTAGTCTATAAAATAATTAGATTACTCACCAGTAAGTGTTGGTTGAAGCCCTGCAGAACCACATTTAAATGAGCTGCAATATTCAGCTATTAACTGAATAATAAGCACATAGTCTTTAGTCTGTGCTTCTTAATATAAATGGGCAAAATATACCTCTTAGTATAATGCGGTACAGTTAATCAGCATCACAAATATCACCTTGTGAAATTAGCTTACAGTTGAATTAACACTTCACTAAATCTCTGTCTTCAGATAACTCGCTTGTGCCCTGCAAGCAAGCTAGACAAACCCACCTTGAGGCGCGTCTTCGAGGCAGTTGGCGTGAACCTTCCAGCCCGGCTTTTGGTGACTGCAGTCAGAGGGAGTGACAACTCTGGTTTACCTCCGCAAGAGCTTCTTTCACTGGGCACAGCTCTGTTGGCTGCCCTCAGCACAGACCCTGACATGGCCTCCCAACCACAGCTCCTCACCACCATCCCACTCCTGCTGGGCATTTTAGCAAATGGTCTTGAGAACCAACAGGAACAGAAAGCTCAGGAACACAACCAAGATGGAGACAAGAAGCTAGGCCCAGATTGTAAAGTCCATTCAGCAGAGAGTTTAAACATGGATAGTAATCCTAGCAATATGGCAAAATCAACAGGAGAGAGCAAGCAAAAGTGTGTTGACGGAAGAGAAGCAAGTAAAGTATTAACATCTCAAGAAACCTCTCCCTCCTCCAAGCTCGATGAGGCTGTGGCTACTGACTGCTACCAGGTCCTCACAGCTGTGTCTGCCTTACCCAGAGGTACGGACCAGCTGCTAACCAGGGGTGTCATTCCTGCTCTGTGTCACGCAGTGGAACAAAACCAGACTTTCAGCCACGAGAGGGGGCTTGCCTTGCTTGGTTGCCTCCTCTCAGGTAAAGCCAAAGACAAAGTGTGGAGTAAACACCCTGCAGAACTCCTCACTCTGCTTGTTGGGCTCTCCAAAGACTTCTGCCAAGCCACAGGCCAAACCAAGCTGGACATGTGTACCCAGTTAGCGCAGTTTCTCCCCCCAGTGGGAGTAGCAGTAGAGAGTGAGGAGCTGAAGGGAGTTGTGGGCCGCGTATGGGGGGCATTGAGACCCATGTTGCAGGCTAAGTTGACACCGAGACAGATCGGGCAGATCCTGGTCCTTGGTGCTTGTCTGCTGGATTTACACGGGTGGGAGCTGGTGGGACCGCCAAAGTTCTGCTGCTTACTGGTGAACCGGGCCTGTGTGGAGGTCAGAATGGGTTTGGAGGAACCGCCTGGTAGCGTACTGAGCCCAGAGCTGCAGCACATACTCACAGGTAGTATGCCTATTTAAAATGATATATTGATTGTAATTAAAATATCTGCCTATTTCATAACAAGTTGCCTACTAACAAAGCTGAGGCAACCTCAACCACAACAGTTTGTAATGTTATACCTACTTCTCACTGCTTCTGTAGCTATTTTCCTTATTAATTAAATGTCCAAAAAATATTCTAACAAGGGCTACAACCACAATAGAAATACTCATGCCAAGAGTCCAGAGTGCCGCAGTGCAATCTCCCTGTGAAATGTTTTACTAGTCACCAAAAAGTATTTGAAATTCTCCTTTCCCATATTTTGCATATTATGTTGACTGTTAAATATATATCTCTACAAAATGTATTTCCATACACGGTTGTCCAAATGTTATTTCGAAGCTTTCTCCACAATGCCAGGAGTATAATTCTGGTGGGGTTTTTTTGTCAAAAGTGTTCAGATTTAAGGATTCTGACTCTAAACAAATATTTCAATCCGGTTTAAAAACTCACCATGTGTAATTTGTGTGTATCTGTAGAATTTAAACTCCTCAGATTATTTAAGGTAACACAATTCCCTGAAACAATACTGAGGACATGACCTTGCTGTTAAACCACATGGCTACGATTTTATTAAAGATGATTAACCCTTCTTATAACTTCATATTCCCAGGCTGTTATCGAATCATGGAGGCTGCCATAGAGCAGGCCTGCTGTCAGGGAGTATCGCAGACCGCTGTACCACCTCAGAGCTCCATCCCGTCACTCAGTCTACAGCAGAGCAGGCAGGTCCTCGGGGTGTTGGAAGAGGCCTTCTCTGCTATAATGTACTACCTGCAGCAGGTGAGAGGAAGACGTTTAAGCATCTGTTGGTGCCACTCTGTTTTTGTCCTGTCATAGCCTTTTTTTCTATCTAACAAGGTACTTATTGCTGTTCTGGAAATTTAATGACTCACTGTGCGCCAAATGAATCTTCCTTGTGCTGTGTCAAAAATGTACATCTCATAGGAAGTAAAGTATTGGATAAATTGCTTAGTAAATGCCTGGTAACTAGCTAGCAATAAAATTGGGAGTTCATTTTGAAATATTAAGATCACAAATAGAGCTAGAATGATTTGTAGAATAATTAACCTGTCAATTACCAGAGAATCTGTTACATTTTAAATAGTGGATTATTTAAGTTATTTTTGAATAAAGATGCCACTGTTTTCTGATGTTTTATAGACCAGACAGTTAATCCAAATACAAGTTGTAGATTTAATGATAATGAAAATAGCTGTGAGTTGCAGCTCTGTTGGCAAACAAGCATGATGAGATTCAGATTCTTCTTTTCAGCCCTACCAAATGTTATATAATATTGTGTTTATTATTGTTCAGAGTGTAACAATAGGAAGGCCATCCAAAGATTTTTTGGCTTGTTTTTTCTTGGCAAGACAATAGCAAGCAAAGACGTGCTGGCACAGGAAAGAAAAGTTTGAGGAGTCAAATATTTTGGCAGACTAAGAATGCTTTTCGAAGACTAGCAGGACTAAAATGTTTCATGAAAATGGTATATGTTAAAATATGTTTGTGTCATGGCAGTCAAGGAGAGAGAAAAGCAGAACATTTTATGTATAAATCTTTATTTGTATGGAACTTAGCAAATGCACTGTTTTAAATGATTCTTCCCCGTTTCTTCCTGTTCTTGTAGGTGGAGCCAAGTCGCTACAGTGACCCGTTTGTTTTTGCCACTTTCCGCTCTCTGTGTTCGTGGCTGGCTGAGGAGACATCCTGTCTGAAGGAGGAAGTGACCGCACTGTTGCCGTTTTTGATTGGCTACTCCCGGAGCCACCTGAAGGGTGACAGCCCAGAGCAGGGCCTCTCTGACTGGATGACCGACATGTCCGTCACAGAGGGGAAGGAGGCGTGGACGGGCAAAGAAGCTCTGAGGTAAAGATGACAATATATATCCGAGGGAATCGGTCAGTACTTTCCCTTCCTCCCTTACGTCCTCATCCTTTTCTTCAGGTATCTCCTCCCAGCTCTGTGCCACCTGTCAGCAGAGGAAGGTCCCAGGAAGGTGCTGCTCACTCTCGACACCCCGGCCCTACTGGTGGAGTATTTGTCGCAGTGCTGGGCTTCCATCAAGGGGAAAAGTGGGGTGGCTTCCACCAGGGATCCCAGCATGGAGACAGCCTGCTCAGCTCTTCTCAACTTCACTGTCACAGAGCCAGAGAGAGTCAGGTAGCTGGTTTACAAGTGAAACACTCATCTGAAGGTGGCAAATTAATGATATAGATCTATCTATAACTGAGATATAGCTGCTCATACTGATAGTTCATGATGGCCTAAATTTAATTTTTTTCTGTGTTGTACACTAGGAAGGACCCATGCTTCAGAGCGCTGGAGGCCCTTCTGAATGCAGCACTTCCAGTTCTGGTGCATAAACCCCACCTGCTGGTGCTAACAGCAAACTACTGCACATTGGGACTGATGATTGGCAGACTCAAATCAGCTCCCTCAGGTGAAAATGCTTCTTTTGTGTTGGTTCCAGTGCTTGATAAGAAGCCTTTCTCACAGCAGACATTTTAACATGTAATAGCAGGTGTTTCCAATAACATTAACAATGCCTCTGTTCACTTCAAATGTCCCAGTAAACTCTGTTACAGTGAGTCACAACAACCTGAAACAGAAGCAGCTAAATGGCATTCAGCCTTTTATTAATTTGATTATTCACACTTGTGGTTTTCCTACCGGGACATGTCAAAATGTCTTCTGTGAAAAAGGCGTATATATCAGGGCTTTGGAGCTGGCAAATCTAAATCTGATGTAGCCATTACTAATGTTATTAGTCATCCTTGAGTGTTTCCTTCTATAACTGCTTTGAAAAAGGCCTATGGGGATGCAGATCATGTGGGCTTTAAGTTGGGAAGAAATGCTGCTGTACACAAGATGCAGACTGGGGATGAAAACATATTAATGTCAACTTAGTCTCTCTCTTTAAACCTGCATGTTGACTGTCTGCTGTAAATTTGGCTATTTGTAGTGTCAAAATCATTATTATTAATTTTAGTCACATTTTTAATTAAATATATAGGCACAAAATGTCCATTATTGGCAGCTTAGGCTAAAAAATAGATGTCCCCACTAATGACACATACTTGTTTATTTTCCAGGCTCAGTTGAAGCTAGCCAGAGGCGGTTCTTCTCTGCAGCTCTAGGGTTCCTCAGTAGCGCCCTGGACTCCGGCTCCAACCCAGGTCCGGTTAAGGTGAGCCTCAGCTGGGAGGAGAGCTGGGACGAAACGGCTGAGCTCTGGAGGTTGGGTCTGCAGGCTCTGGGAGGCTGTGTCCACGCTCAGCCCTGGATCACCACACTGGTCAGAGAAGAAGGTTGGCTCAAATACACACTCACCATGCTGAGTCAGTGTAGCGCACTACCTGACCAGCACACACAGGAGGCGCTAGAGGAAGCTCTGTGCGCCATGGCACACCAGTGCTCAGTCTGTAAAGTGGAGATTGGGGACATGATGAGGAACGGTAAAGGAGCTTTGATGTGTATGACGAACCTGAAGAAGTCAGTGGGAGTAGAGTGACACCAAACTGCTGCTGACATACAACGGGCTCTTTAAAGGAGTATTTTTAAATTGCATAGTTGGCAATGAAGGAATAAAGGAAGGCTGTTACTGGAGCCAAACTTGTGTGTTTATTACCTGCACCAATCTGCCATGAATAATGTTTTACCTGTTGCCCCTGACTTTAATGTAAAGAAGAGATGAAAGGCCTCAGATTCTGCTGGTAGGGCTGGGTATCTGTACTCTGAACCACATAGAATAGAAACTTCAGTCAAGCCCAGATCTAGAAAAAAAGACTATTTGTATGGTTTTGCTTGCAGCCAGTCACCGCAATGCATCCTGTGATTGGCCCACTAGTTTATCGTGCCAAGATGCAACCAAAACTATAAAAAGATGATGGCATTTTATACAACTGAATGCTTCCATTCACACTATTAATGGTACCAGTATCACTTTAAGGGCGCTGGTATTGGTGCTAGTATTGTAATTTATAAAAGACACCCAGCCCTAACTGCTGGTCTTGTGATCTTTGCAAGTGAGCTTGAATTACAAAGAAGACACTCAAAATTATGAACATATTTTTAGTGTAATGCAAATGTTCAGACGGCTGTGCTCTGACGATAGTTTCTTACGTGTCTGTTGTGAAATATTAATGTCTTTAATAAAGAGCTATTTTGTTAAACAATTAAAAAACAACAACCAGAACACAACGTTTCATGTGTCTTCTTTTGTGTGTGTGTCTTTTCTTAAGTTTATTTGTGACTTTTATTTTTTAGATTTACATCCTCATGATGAACAAATGGGCTCTGGGCTGAGAGCCACAGACAGAGAGTATTGAGAGACCGATTAATTGGTTTTCTTTTTTGTAGGAATTGGTTTACAATCACAAATATATGGATTATTACCAGCCTTATTCTTCAAGTCCTGAGTCTTCTTAAGTAACTTTGAAGTCAGGTCAGGATGTGAGTCTTAAAGGTCCAGTGTGTAGGATTTAGGGACATCTCTTGACAGTAATTGTATATAATATTCATTACTATGTTTTCATTCATTTATAACAACCTAAAACTAAGTGTGTGTGTCCTCTTGCACAGAGTCCGCCATGTTGTTCTGCAATAGGCCACAATGGACAAACCAAACACTGACTCCAGATTGGGCCATTTGTGTTTTTGTGTCAGCAGCCATAGTTTTCCGACATGCTGGCACACGGGAGAAGTTTCAGCTCTGCAGCCTCACTGCTAGATGCCACGAAATCCCACACACTGAACCTTTTAAGGTCTTTCTTGCTGACCATTGAAATGACCTATTAATGCTGTTAATAGTGTTTTCTTTTACATAGTTGACACTTAATCCTTTCAGGGCAGTGACCTAATGATTAAATATTCAAGCTGTGGGTTTTGAATATTTTTGTATTTAAGTTAGTCTTGTCTCCTTATAAGGCCTCATTGACAAAAAGTGTCTGACTCAAGTCCAAGTCTCAAGTAACAAGCCTGTTACTCTGGCCTTAAGTCTTACCCAATCATCCACCCACTTTGGTTTAAGCTAAGTAAATATAATACAGGTGTTAAAATCTGACACATCAGAATGTCTCGGGAGGTCTCTGTATAGGTAGGTAACTGTTTCTGTTCCTCTCTTATATATGAAGCACCACAAGATGGCGCACTGGGACCTTTTTGGATGTGAAGTGCCTTGAAGTTCTTGACGCACGCTGCATATATGTGGCTGTACATTTGGAAAGAGAAACGTGAATGCAAAACTCAAGAGTGACATTTTTTTCGTGTTTATTTTCCTCCTAATTCTGCTTTCTGAATAAATATGAAATGCAAAGTGACCAAAATTGTAATTTCCCACAGTTTTAGTGCAGCGCCTTCGTCAAAGAGCGACAAGAAGTTATTGAAAGGCGAATGACTCATCACAATAATTTCATTTTGCTTCATGTTTCAAATGTATTATCAGCTGAGAATATTTTTTATATTGACATCAATGTATAAAAAAATACAGCATGGTGTATCAAAGTAAGAATTCGCGTTTTTGTTAATATAGGTGATTTTCTTCTTTGTCATTATCACAAGCCATTGTTTTCCTATTCACCACTTCATTCCCGGTCCTACAGTCCGCGCACAAACCGTGAAAAAAGTTTTTAGTTACCCCCTGCACGACTCCTGTCACCTCCCGCCCTCTTTTCTTTTTCCCCCCCCCCCCGAACACCCATCCATACAAACTCCTGCATCGTCTCTCAAACTAACTCACTCCTCTCTGTACCTTCAGCCCGTCTCTCCTCCATCCACCGCGTCACATTAACCCCTCAGCTGCAGCTTGACAACCACACTGAGAGACACCAACACCACCGGCACCACCATGCTCTGGAAATCCCGAACCAAGACTGACGCTCTGCAGGTAAAAGAAACACCACACGGCTTTTTTGTTGTTTTGTTTTCACTGGTGTAATTGTGCTTTCAACACATTTAGGTCTGTTGTGAAGTCCATCATCACTGCGTAAAAACGCTGCACATGGTGGGCCTGTTGGCTTGTTTTTAAGGGAAGCTGAATTCGGAAAATTTACTTGTCAGTTATGAAACGTGTGAATGATCCAGCTTGGGTGAAATGTTTGGAGAAAACTGAGTTATTTGAAGTATAAAGCTGAGAAGATCACCTGGATATTAGTCCGTAAAAGCGACTGTAGTCTGAACTTAGACATTAAAAATGAGAGAATATGATTTTATTGTTTAATTGTGCTAAATAAACATATGGAAACTCTAATATCTCAGAATCTCTCGGTGCGTAAAATCCAGAATATGACCCAGTGCCATTTTAAAACAATACATGCAAAAGCACAGTGTGTGTTTGGATTAACGGACGATAATTGAATGAATATATCTCTTTAAGAGAAGTGGACCCTGTCGACCCCTCCCCTCATTCTGCCGGGTGCGCGCAAAACCTATAAGTAGTGCGCTCATGGAGAGTCTGTAGGACTCCGTGTGTGTTGTGCGCGCGTGTGCGTAACTGACAGCAGCTTTTCATCTGCGCGTAAAGAGCTCCGTCAAACGCAGAGCGAAAGGAAAGTAAATAACACCTTCTGAAATTAATGGACCGTTAAAAACAGCCTGGATTACATCTCGGAGCATTTTGGTGACATCTTTCAGTTGTTGGAGGCTTGCGCATCCTGTTGAATTTTAAATTTGGGGGGTATCCAGAGTGGTCCAGATGTTAATCCACACCTATTCGGCCATGGTGAGTGTGATGGAAAACGTGTTTTTTTATTTTTTTTTATTTTTTTAGTTTTTTGGAGTGCTGCTGTCTGTTCACTACTAATATAACTCAAATTTAGAAACACATATTTTTTGTACCGAGTGTGAGTAGACTGGAACATGCGCACAATGAGTTATCTTCACTTAAAAACAGCTAATTCTGGTAAATTCACGTGTAGGAAAAAATGATTTAATCAATTTGTAGCATTTTTGGATGTAACACCAACTGTCAGCTTGTAGAGTAAAACGATCCTTTGTGATTTTTATGACTGACAAATACATTTTTGCAAATTTGTTCTCTGCTCTCCAGCAGAATCATAAAGTGTCCATACTTTGCGATGAGCCCTTCTGACACTGAGTTTAGTGTTGCGGCGCGGCGCATCTGTCCGCGGAGATGCTCTTTGTCTGCAGCGTGTCACAGCAAGTGAGACCGGCTGACAGTGAAGTGTCCACTCACTGCACAAACACGCCAAGGCAGAGTGGTAATCAATCTGTCTGGAGGAGTGTCATCGCGTTTTACAGCCGCAGAAATCAACTTTGTCAGACTAAAATATGAAACAGTTCTGCACAGATGTATGACAGATATATGTGTGTGCTTTTAACGTGGCAGTGGGCCTCTCTGCCTGCCAGATAATGGACATTGTTCCACAACAACAGCATTGATTTGGGTGACCCAGCTTTAAAAAACAAATCCAATTTTACCAGGAAGTGTGTGAGCCGAAATGTAGGCTAGTGGACTACATGTTTTTACACACACTGCTGCATGCTGGTATTTTTTTCTTTTACATGAGGGGTTAAACTTGTAAAGTCAAAATAAAATCTGAAAAATTAACCTCCTTTTCTTCGATTCTAAGTTTTGGGGTCAATGTGGTATTGTTGACACGATGACAGATAATTTACAGATTGACTCCCCTCCTGGAGCAGCGTGTTGTTATTGTGCACTACCTGTCCTTTGTGTAGCTTCTTGGTGGCCGTGACCTTTCTGACACTGTTCGGCAGCGATGCCAAGGGCGCCTTCTGCCAGTGCGCATCACTTCAAGCGCTGCTGCTATTTCCAACCATCTAATAAAACGGAAATACATTTATACATGGGTCATAGCTGTTATGTCTTATGTTATATAGTCTCTTTATATAAATATTTTTTTTAAATTTTCAGGCCTCAGATTAAAAAAAAAATGCGTTTCCCCGGGCTCATCACTTTTGGAATTTGACATTTGATGAAAGAGCCTCGTTTTGCACCTTTGGGAGAACAGTCTGATGACGACTTTGAGATCCTGATATGAAGCAAACTTTTAAAATTTTTCTGCAGGACCGCGCAGACGGACTAAGCGGCTCTTCACCGAGTGGGCGCCTCTCCCAGCTGTCCTCCCTGAACCAGGCCGCCTACTCCTCGGCTCCCCCGCTCTGCCACACTCCGGCCTCTGACTTCCAGCCTCCGTACTTCCCTCCCCCTTATCCCCAGTCCTCCCTGCCATACTCCCAGAGCCAGGACTCATATTCCCACCTGTCAGACCCCTACCCCTCCATCAACTCCATCCATCAGCATCAGCAAGCGGCGTGGCACTCGCAGAGGTCGCGCTCCGACGACGGGGGACTTCTTTCACAGTCGCACCGGGCTTTGAGCCTCGACCCCCGGCGGGAGTATCCAGCTGTCCCGCGGCTGCTGCACGGTCTCGGGGAAGGTGCTGCCGCTCTCGGGGACGGTCCCCTCGGGATGCACCTGGGTCATCACGGCCTGGACGATCTCCAGGTGACTTTATTTATTTCTCTATGTTAGCTGCCCATTGCCTTGGCGCAGCGCACTTGGAAGACCGTGCGTAAAAGTCACTAAAATCATTGCGCACAAATATGAACAATATTTCTTCTATTTTTTTCATATTCCAATGCCATTATATTAACCAAATATCACGGAAAATAAGTGCAAAAATATCTCTCACTCTTTTAAGGACGTGGATGTTTGCAACAGGCCCTGAAGGCAATTTATCCTCCTTCCCTCAAACGACACAATTCCTGATGAAATAGCACACATTAATCAAATAGATTTTTAAGTAAACACCTGTAATTAACAACTACTACATATTATTAATCATTTGTATTTATTTGGAATGCGTAACCTGTTATTTATCTTTTATTATATACAAAAAATTCCAGCAGACCTTTATTGTACCTGCATTTCAAATGGAAAATTACGCACGTTTTTTCGTGTCTGATATTAAAATAAGAAAAGCAGGAGTGCGTCGCTGACTATGGACTTTAAAAACAACAACAAAACAAAAACAGCCTGTTTTGTTGGGGTGAGATGTTTCTGAATTGGTTATAAATCAATACTCAAAAATATATGAGATATCTATTCTCCATTTTGCCAAGTGTGGATTTTACATGACCTGTTCCAACACGTTTTGTCCTTTTAAGAGATTTTTAATTTTAGTTTAGTTTAATGGCTATAATTCCTAGCCTGATCAGAAGAAGGAGGTGTTATGAGTTATATAAATTAGACGAAAATATTTAATACTTTTCAGAGATTTTCAAATTGGACTGCCAAAAAATACGCTTATTTTTCCTTTTGGTGACATTTGCCCGTCTGACAATTCGTCAGGACATTCATGCAGCATTATCCTATGTCTCGCACAAAGACAAAGTGATCCTGCAGTCTTTTGCCCTCTGCAGTT